GTACCCTGGCGGTGTTCGCGGCAGCCATCACCTTGGGTCACGGTGGCTTCGATGGGTTCACGGCCCGTTCTCATCCTTTGGTGAAAAGTTTTTTGCGGGGGGCCCGCAGGAAGAGGCCCCCGCTTCAGAGAACACCCCCAGTGTGGGACCTCAGAGTGGTCCTTAGGGGTCTGTCGGGCCCGCCTTTTGAACCAGTGTCGGAGGCGAGTCCCGAGTGTGTTGCTTTTAAGACTGCCCTCTTGCTGGCGTTGGCGTCTGCTAAGAGGGCGGGCGATTTGTGTGCGCTCTCCATACATGCGTCTTGCTGTCCTTTGGAGAGGGGGACGGACTGGTAGAGTTGTGGCCCAATCCGGCCTTTCTCCCTAAGGTCATTACTTCGGCCTTCAGGTCGAGAGTGATCAGGATTAGGGCTTTCCATCCGCCGCCACCGCACTCCTCCCCGAGGAGGAGCGACGGCACCTTCTGTGCCCTGTCAGAATGCTTAGGCGTTACCTGACCTTAACATCTTCCTTCAGACTGGTGGATCAGCTGTTTGTGTGTCTGGGCCCCAAGAACAGAGGCGCCCCGCTGTCGTCTCAACGTCTGGCACACTGGGTCGCCTCGGCTGTACGGTTGGCGTATCAGGCTCAGGGCCTGACGCCCCCGGTGGGTTTTAGGGCCTCTACGGCCCTCCTCAGGGGGGCTTCGGTGGAGGACGTTTGCCGTGGGGCTTCTTGGGCTTCGTCCTCTTCCTTCGTCCGGTCTTACCTTTTGGATGTGTCGGACCGGTCGGTGGCCCATTCCGTGCTTGGTGCAGCGGACTGATTGGAATCGTGAGTTCTTCGTCCAAGAGATTACGGTTGGCTCTTCCGCCCTAGTTCAGGAGCTCTTGGGAGAGGCGTCCTGTAGGTGCGGTATTATGTGTGTTGGTCAGTTGGGTGGTCCACGTCAGGAGCTCTTGGGAGAGGCGTCCTGGGACTACGGGTGACTTTCGGCCGGTGTTACTTGGGGGTGTCCTTGGGAGGAGCGGCCCCGTAACACGCTTGGATTTGGTTTCTGTCCTGAGTCTTCTCACTGTGTGAGGGTTGCTCGGACGGGGCTCCAATCACTCTTCGCTGGCTTGCTGGGAGTACATGTTCCTACGGCCTCCGCGTTGTGTCCCACTAGCGAAGTCCGCTAAGGGACGTAGCACCATGACGTAGAATTAATAGTTACCTAATGTAACTTAAGTTCTACGAATAGGTGCGTAGTCCCTTAGCTACGAGGCCATCAGGCCAGCCCGGCTTGGCAGAGTTCAAGAGGGGGTGCGGCCTTGTGCAGGGGCCTTTATAGAGGAGGGTCGCTAGTGATTGGAGCAAATTATTTTGATCTCTCTGGCGTGTGACCTGGGGGTCACGTGATATCCCACTAGCGAAGTCCGCTAAGGGACTAAGCACCTATTCGTAGAACTTAAGTTAGGTAACTTTTAAACTAGGTAACTATTAAATACAGCACAAAAAAGTACCAAGGGGCGCAATTTAGTTTGTTTTTTAAACTTAGTAATAATAATAATATGCATTGGGTTTGTATAGCGCTTTTTTGGACACTCAAAGGCGCTTTACATGTCGCTATTTTTTCACTCTGGGACACACTGACAGAAGCGAGGACACCATGTGCCATCGGCCCCTCTGACGACCACCATCCATTCACACACATACCAGACTCATTTTCTTAATGTGTGTTAAGTGTCTTAACTTAGGTCACAGCCGACCCACTGTAGCACCTGGTGTGCCTAGAGGTCTTTAAAAACCAGAAAACTTAGCACATCCGACTCTGTGACAGGTGCGTAAGAGCTGGCTCCGAACACAGCTCCACCAACTGGAAAAGGAAACAAATGACAGATGTGCCGCGGTTCAACCATGCTGATAGAGGTATCCCATCACATCACTAACCAGGCTCTTCCCTGCTTAGCCTCAGGGGTCAGACACGATCTGACTCTCACCTGTAGTTATGGCCACACTTGCAAAGATTTCTTTATGTGTCATCACTGGAGAAAGATAATCATGTTTAGAAACAAAGATTAACTAAATTCCATCGATCTGATTGTTTTCCAGTGCTCTGACTTCATCGTGCTCACAGTTGGAAGACATGAGTTTCTCTCAAAGACAACATTACCCAATAGATGGGTAATGCTTATATTACATTTAAAGGAAATGTAAGAAAACTCATGTAAGATATTTGTTTATGTTAGTAATTGTTAAATTATGATAATTTATCTTGATCTCTCTATCTATAACAGTCATACTATGAATATAAAATGTTTTTTGTGTTTATGTAATTGTTTATGTTGTTGACTAACAATAACTGGCAATAACAGGGTGTGCAATGATGAGGATTCTAACATTGTGGACTCTTGGTGGTTAATCAACGTGTGGACTGTGGCCTGTGCGGGATCGCAATACTCTTTCATTTGTTTTTTTGTTTTTTTGTGACCATAACCCTATGGGACGACAGATGGAAATCAGCCTTTGGCATGTTTACATTCATGTTTCTAATATGTCTGTTCATTTAACGGCACTTCCCCGTTCAAATAAATTAAATTAATAAATATCTGAAGATATTAATTAACTAATCTGACTAACTGGAGTGTCTGTGAAAGAATGTCATGATGATCATATAACAGTGGTGATAAGACACCCCTGGTCTAAAGCCCTGGGCAGCAAGGTGGCAGAGTGGTTAGCACTTGTGAGGAAGCAAGAGTCAAGGTCTGTGTAGGTTTAAATGTACTATGTAAACACAGACATGCCAGTTGCGACCCAACCAGTGTCATCCAGCCAACTTCAGCTCAGTCCTTTAGACTCTACTAAAACGTTTGGACACACCTGATCTAAAGCCTTCAGAGATAGTTAGCACAGCTTTTCAACAGTTTTAAGTGTTGTTTGAGGCGCCTGCATCCCTTTCGTCCAGTAACAGATGTGACAGAACCATGCACTCAAATATAGTTCCACCGCTTCTATCAGTCTAGCTATTACAAATTTACAGTAAAGCTGCCAAACAAAAATTATGTTTTCAACATTTTTATTAGAGATTAAAACATATTTTTGGAATAACACATACAATATTTGTATTCTCAACCCACTGTTAATGTCTGACTTGCCCAATAACACAAAAGTATTATAGAACATATATTCAAGCATCAGAATGTGCATGTAAATTGCAGTGGGCGACTGGGCGTCCAAGGTTCTTCATGCACTTTCATCCAAGTACAGAAGAATGATAATATACAGTACATCCATGCAGTGTGCTGTGCCAAGACAAATGCTGCCTCCATGTGGTACAATGCAAAATTACAAGTACATGTGGTCATAAATGTTTATGAATAGATTATCATTTTCTATGACAATAAATGATCAGTGAACAGTATGTTTATTATGATGAATGGGTTTATACATGGTTATTGTGTGAGACATTACCTGAGGACAGAGCCTGTAGATGGGTATGGTCCCAGTGGCAGGTCCATGGGCAGGATCTGGACACCTCTCACTGAGCCTGCATTTGATCGAAATAAACTCAATTGCCTGATGGTATGTATGGAAATCTTAATCCGTCATTTAAAATGGATAGTGAAAATAATGTATGCTGCTGAAAATAACGAATTACAAAAAGAATATTTTGTCTGATAATACATCAAATTCTCTTAAGGTTTACTACAAATATGAGTGACTTCTCTTGTTGAAGTTGTTCACTGGTCTACAGACTTATGTGAATGTCCCAACAAACAAGATTCCAAAAGTGTAGAGCAAGAAAACAAAAGCCCTGTGACATTAACCGTGTGGCAGCGAACGACTCCGTGACTGGGAAATACTACAGTCTATGGTTAATACAGATAACTTACAGTTTCCCATGTGGTTGAAATGCCATTACAAAACTTGATCGTTCCGAATCCGACGGCCAAGGGCAATGTAGCTAGCTAGCTAGTAAGCTAACTAGCTAGTTACAGCTAGCTACATGCAGACTGATGATGAAGAGAATTTAATCCATGATCTTGTCTCTTGGCCTCCAGGACAGAAAGGTCTGTCGCATTAAGGCTTTTCAGAATTATTCTTACTATTATTTTTTGACAATAGTGTCCTGAACATAAAGATAGGTACCTTTTATCATAACTAATGCATTTGTTTTCCCAACAGAGGCGAGTAATGTAAAAGTAGAAGGTTTATGTTAATGACGTAAATCAGACCACAATATGCGGCCTTCATTAATGTTTTTAGAAAACATCATCTTTGCATACTTCAATCCTTGCAGTCACTGTTTGGGCTTTCGTGGGGGTGGTCCTCTCTTTTCCACATTTCTGTCTGTGTTTCAGGCCTGTGGTTCCCAACCTGCAGAACATGGACCAATACATCTGGCTGGTTGCCTGAGGCTCACACCGGGCCCCCAGGACACAGGAGACAGGGGCCTAGGATGCCTGGCTTCATTCTGCGCAGGCTTCACGTCGTCCTGCAGCTGCCACCTGTAAGTGTCTGCTGTGGCTCAGATGGCTCTTACTGTGTGATGTTTTTGACACTGTTTATGTGTAAAAGTGTAAAAATGTGTCTTTGCATTTCCTCTTACTACAATATGTTGTATATATAAAGGTAAAAATATGGCAAGATAAATACATAATTTTATTTGAATACATTCTTCTCTAATACAACATTGTAATGGTTTTCCCAAGAAAATAAACAATATAAAATTAGAGTAGATATGATACATACAGAAGTGTGGGAGCCCCTCTAAAATGAATATAACTACGTTATCAAATACTTGAGGCCCACTGCAGTGTTTTCCGGGTTTAACATGAGTGAACAATGTCATGCAGACTGCTTTGCTCTGTTTTTTAGACGTTTTAATGCCTCAGAAGTCAAATGCCAAAATGATGAGTGTTAACAAGTATAGTAGAATAGGCTCATTCACTGTTCCAGTTGGAAAAGATGCAAATTCTCTTGGATCTTTTTTAGACATTCATATGGAAAGAATATGAGCTAAGGACAGTGTGGCAACATTCAGGGATCAGTCCTGGGGCCGGGATGCCCCTGAGCGGAGGTGGAGGGCCGGCTCAGCATCTCCAGAGGACAGCCCCCCGCAGCTGCCACGGTCTCCTCCGCGCGCATACACAGCTCCTGCAGGAAGTTGGCGGTTTCAAACACCAGGTCGCTCTCGTCGTCTGAGACAGACAGACACACACAAAATAACGTTTTACTATATTAATTCAAAAGTGATTACAACTTCATGCCTCTGCAAAAATATCAGCATAAATATATATTTAGATTAAGAGATCCTTTATTTGTGCGACAATGGGAAAATGTCAGTGTTGCATCACCACCAGTTACAGAACAGTAGGAGCACACAGCACAAGATAAATCAACAAAATCTCTAACTTTAGCATAAAAAATAAGGTATAAGATCTCTAGCTTTAGCATAATAAGGCGGCAAATCTAAATCTCAAACTTTAGCTCAAAAAAGCCAGATTAAAGTCTCTGACTTTATCAAGTATGACGTATATATTTAACAAAATAAGAAGCAAGTATAATATACTGTATATTGTTGTGCAAGAATTATATAGTTGTATGTATACATCTGTACATGTTAGCAGTGCGAGGGTCTGGGACAAAGTGACAGAACAGTGTGGTTCTCTATTGCACGCACATGCGCGTAACATTATCTGGCTGTATCTACACAGGCCGTGCGCGCAGGTCTGCGACTTCTGATGCTCTCCCTGTGTAGTCTGTGGAGAAGTGTAGAGGACAGTACGGGCCAGAGGACTGATGTAGAGCAACACAAATCACATGCATGTGTTTGTCTTCATGGTCTAATTTACTTCATGGACATTATGGACTTTATGAAAGAATATAAAAACAATGTCCAGAATGACTGTAAAACCTGCTGCTCCTCCTGCTAATGTTTAGATACAAGTGCTGTGTGTGTGTAGATGAGATCTAAAGCCAAGGACCGCTAGAACGGGCGACGCGTTGGTGCACTCACAAAATTAGAAATCCATCCTAATTTAGGCGTAGCCTCGCGTCAGTACGTCCGTCATACGCGCGTATAACACTAGTAGTGTACATAGTAGTCTATGTAGTGTACATAGACAAATGTTACGCGCGTCTGCTGCGCATACAGCGCGCATGTGCTGTAACGCCTCCTGTGTAAATTAGCTGTTACTCTAACGACAACAAAGAGTCAAGTGTAATCTACTTTCATGAAGTCTGGAAGTATGGAAAATAAAGGCCCATGCTGACCACTCATACAACCGCTGGGTCACTACAAGGTCAATTACACAAAAATTTCATACATTTTTTCCACACCAAAAGTTGCATTGGTGCAAAAGTTAATTTCCTTTTAATCCAAAATAACATTGTGAACACATAATCCTGCTACATGTATTCAGATAGTCTCCAACATGGACTAAGAAAACATAAATCTAATTGGATAAAACATCAGAATTTTGCGTCTTCTTATTTCTAAAAGTTGTCAGTCCCTGTATAAATTGTGCAGAATTGAATCTAAGTTATCAAACCGTTCTCTTTTCTGGATAATTCTACTTAAAGAGCGACTAAACACCAGTTTATGAGTTTTTTAACTCATAAACTGCATAAGTATGTTTATTGTAGTGCTGTCTACATATCCTGGTCATTTTTTTTGACATTTTAGTTCAAATTAGATAAAATATCACTTTTAAGCCAAAAAACGCTGTGTGGTGCCCTCTCAACCTTTTTGGTGGTACTACATTTGAATTTGGTTCTGGCCTCTCCATTGACTCTGAAGTTCTCTATGACATCAGTTGTTTTGTGTGACGTCAGTCTGTCAGAGCCAGTGATGTGAACCCATTCAACTCTCACACACGCCCCAGTTTGGAGTATTCTGGCGCCATCTAGTGGATTCAAATTAAATTACATGAGTCATTCTGAGATTATTGAGTGTGATTAGGTTCAGGTGTGTAGCTTTACAATTATCTTAGTGTGTTATTTAAGGGTTTAATGAGACTTTCTGGTCTGTAAACTATTGCTTTAAGCAGCAATGACAACTGTCTGTTTTTTTTTTTGTGTGACAAGTGAGCTGTCAATCACAGCCCAGACCACGCCCAAATCTAAGCCCCCCTTCTTGTCCCTTGGTCCTCCAGGCAACACCCTTTTTAGAGAAAATTTTAAAATCTTCATGTGGGCGGGGTAAGGCTGGGCACAGGTGTTAAGTCGCTCTTTAAACATCAGCACAGTTTGAGGCGATGCCATGGAATAATGAAACTACTGATGCAATACATCAATACACTAAGAGGGCCACTTTAGTTCGTCAGACTTGTCCAGGGGCCGACAACACGGATTATAAAACTATTGTGACTAGAATTGGTCTATTTTGAGATGCTAAATGAGATTATAAAGTTTATACGTATATACACCTCTGTGTGAGTTGAAGGTAGTTGAATAGCTTTCTCAACAGCTACATCAGTGCCATAATGACATAAAAAAAGGTTTTGAGCTTTACAACAAGGTATCCTGTATTGGAGAAGCCTAAGTTGGCTGGATAACTGTAGGAGCCAAAATGTACCTTTCCCTAGCCACAGGGTGCCGCTGTGGGCGTTATGTGACCCGAGCCCATTCTCCTATAAAAAGGGCAGAATTAGAGGGCACAGGTGTTGCTAGGTTTGGAGGTCTACTGTTTCTCACCGTGTCAATTACTGTGGAATGTATTATGTTATTTGGAATAATGGTCATAGGGGCCAGTAAAGAAACCTCTAATACACTATATGGACTGTGGTTTGTGGAGACACGCGTTTGGGAAACTAAAATAAAATCTTAGCAGCCAAGAGGCGATCTACAGGCAACATCGTCGCCTCTACAATAACACTATGAAAAAGGGCCATATAGAATGACACAGCAGGCTGCAATTGGCCTTTGGACCTTAGTTTAGACATGCCTGCCATAGGATGTGACCCAAATCCCCATTGGTCATTGTTTTGTTGCCAGAGAGTGGTACCTTTGAGCTCCTTTAGCCTGGGGGTGTCTTGTGCCTTGGTCTCTGGGTCCTGCATGGATCCACACATCTTCTTATGGGTGAACCAGTGAAGCTTCTGACACACCAGGCTGCAGTACACCACCTTTAAACACATGCCACTCAAGTCAGTGCACCAGCAACAAGCCCCAGCTGTGAGCAAAGAAGGCCTGTTATTCACATATCTATTTAAAAAGATTTTAAAAAACGTGTTAAAAAAAAAAAAAAACAATTTTATATGTATATTTTGGGCCAAAATGAACAATGCAGAATCTCACTTGCCCTGCACTAGTTCAATTGAATTCAATGTATTCTTATAGCCCTAAATCACAACAGTAGTAATCTCGGAGGACTTTTAAAAAAACGTTGAATTCACCAACACAGATCAGATATGGATTTTCCCCCTTATCTGATGTCCATGCCCCTCCTGGCTGACTGCCCTGGAGCAATCCAGTGGAACCTGAGAGTCACATCCAGTATATAAAGAACTGGAATGGACCAGTTTGGGCTCTTGGTCAGTGTCAACTCTTTATGCAACATGTAGCAGGCCCAATGGTGAGGCCCAGAGCCTTCCAGGTTCAGCCATCTCTCCTTGGGGTATGATATTTTCTGTTATGTCTGTAGGCATCTTTTATGTATGCCGTGTCTTTAAATGTTCTTCTATATCTATTGGTTTGGGCCTAAAATGTACAGCAACGATAATATTTTCATGATAACAATGATAAAGGTCCATAAATGTTGTAGTGAAACATCATCATTTTTCCCCATGCTTTTTCCAAGTCATGTAAAAAATAACGCAATCATTTTCTTCCATAGATTAGCATTGTGATGGTAGTAGTAGTACCATCACTGCAGTACCCCGACCCTCTTCCCCCGGGTTTGCTCCCTTCCCTCTGGGCTACAGTAGTAGTAGTAGGAGTAATTGTAGTCTTACTGCTTTACAGAGGGAACATCTCTTGTCCGCTCCCTTCTCTCCACACGTCACACAGTAGTCTCCTTCCACAAACGCCATCTGTCCGGTCAGGGCCTGGCTCAGCACAGCGAAGGCTGTGGGGTCGTTTCCCTGTTCCAAACACATGTCAATAGAAACAACTCTTCCTTTTATGCATTTGCACATCTTCACCTAAAGAGGATTCTATAATCTATGCACAGATCTATTCATGAGGCCTATGGACCCAGGACTCATTTTGGCTTGAAAGCTGGAGCTCCCTGGGTACAATACTAAGTATATAGTTATACATTCTTCATTAATAACATTTAATCAAAATCCTAGCTATATTTTCAACAATATTAAGCAACAGTGTTACATTTCTAGTGTTGACAAGTACATTTTCTTCTCTGTAACAAAGGATTGCAGATTTTACTTGTGACAGTGGAAATCTAAATAATGAGAGTTTTGGTTTAGCAAACCTAAAATAATATGTTTTTTAAAAGGGTTATACAGTATACACCTTCCCTTTCAAAAATATGTCACTCTATAATACAGGCTATGCTCAGATCATTAGAATATTGTGAAAAACAAATGTATGTATGTACGCAAAGTGACATATGCTGTGCTTTTTTTCTTTTATTTGATCATTATAACTTGTAAATAACTCAAATTCAAAATATCAGAAGATTAGAATATTGTGAAAATGGGCTTCACTACCGGCTCAAAGTGTCACCCTGTCATCAGATGAATGATCCATGACACCTGCAGAGGGCGCTGAGACTTTAAATGGTCTCAGTCTGGTTCAGAGGAGGTCACCATCATGGGGAAGACTGCTGACCCCCTCCTCCTCTGAGAATTGTCTCGAAAGGTAATAAAGAAGCTGGATGTTCTTGAAAGTGCTATATCAAAGCACAGTCACAGAAGGAACATGTTACGAGTTTGAAGAAAAGCAGGATGACCGCAGGCTGGAGAGGATTGTGAAGAAAAGATCGTCCAGAAGTGTAGGGACCTTCAGTGGACTGAGGCAGGAGTCCAAGCATCAGAGGCACCACACAGATGGATCTGGTCTCTCTAACGTACGTCTTCAGAGCCACAGTGTCTAGTCTCTCTCTGGTCTCTCTCTCTGGTCTCTCTTTCTGGTCTCTCTCTCTGGTCTCTCTCTGGTCTTTCTTTGGTCTCTCTCTCTGGTCTCTCTGGCCTCTTTGGTCTCTCTGGTCCATGGATCTGGGCGACAAATGTCCTATTCTTTTTATACGACTTACTTCTGAACTTCAACCAGCATCAGAAGCATCTCAATTGGGCTAAAGTATAAGGAAAAATGGAGTAGTACACAATCCAGGATGCTTGAAGCCCAGACGGTTCCACAGTCTGTGATAAGTTGTGGAGCCATGTCTTCTGCTGGTATGAGTACATCATCTGTCTTCAGCAGACACGCTTTATGGAGATGGTGACTTCCTTTTCCAGCAGGACTTGGCACCGGCCCTCACCGCAGAAAGAGCCAAAAGCACGTGATTACTTTGCTTGGTTGGCCAACAGACCTGACCTGAACCCCATTAGAGAACGTATGGGGCTGAAGACTGCTATTGAAGCCTCCTGGTCTTCATCATACCTTAGCAGAGCCTCAGGCTAAGAGCAAAGGAAGGCCCACATTTCTCTGTGTACTTGATTTAATGTAATTTGAGTTTTTTTTCAAGCCATAACAATCAAAGGCCTGACATTTGTCACTGCATTTGTCACTGCAGTGTTATTATGGAAATAATTTGTATACACCTTTTCATATTATTTGTATTATCCTCTGAGGTTCACCTGTATTGACACATACTAGTATATGTATAATTTGATTTAATGTACAATATAAAGTATAGGTGTATCCCAGTTGCTATCATTTGCCATTAGATAAAAAGCTTGCTTCTTTATATTTTTGATTGAAATATCATAAAAACTCAAATACAGCAGTGTTAGTAGCAGAATGTGGAAGGTCCAATGTTGTGCTCTGTGCTAAGGTAATACTAAGGTTAGTGTAGTAGTTTCCACATGGTCTCAGTGTGACATCCTCCTCGTGGTGTCTGCACTTACGATCTGTACCGGTGCTATGCTCCTCACCAGCTCCTGTAGCAGGTTGCTCTCACAGTAGGGGAACTTCCGGATACAGTCTCTGATGAACTTCTCCTGGTACTGAGGGAAGCCATCGCTGTCTCTGCCCTTCAGGAGGCTGCGCCCAGCACACATGCTTCAGTACGATTCAAGATACACTCCTACTTTACAAACAATAGCTCTCTTTTTAATTCAATAGTAAAACATACATTATAACTACATAGACTGAAGACTCTGTTCTCATTCAGGCTCACATTTCTGTGCTAAAATAGGACTAAAGCAGAGACTGAAGCAGGGCTTAAGTAGAGACTGAAGTAGAACTAAAACAGGACTAAAGTAGAGACAAAAGTAGGTAAAACAGTACTAAAGAAGGACTAAAACAGTACTAAAGTAGGACTAAAACAGTACTAAAGTAGGACTAAAACAGGACAAAAGTAGAGACTGAAGCAGAGACTGACGCTGGACTCAAGTAGGACTGAAGGAGAAATTGAAGCAGAGACTGAAGCAGGTTTGAAGTATGACTAAAGCAGGACTGATATGGACTAAACAGGTCTGAAGCAGGACTAGAGCATGAGCAAAATCAACATCTCTGCAGATTTCTCTCAGTATTGAATTGTCTCAAAATGGTAATTTATCCCCAATGCAATTCCTCAATAATCTCTCAGAAGACAAGGTCACAAGGAGGTTTAAATGGTGTGAGGAAGGAAGAGGCGAGGCTGGAGGTTTGCACAGTGGGAATGAGGCCTAGTCTATAACATAATAGGCCCCATCTTTTATGATGTTTTTCGACTCAAGTTCTCTTTAATCATATTAATTTTGATGTCTCACCCGATGGGGCGTTTTCCATACTGAGACAACTGCCTATTACTACTCAGAGAACTGGTGTTTTCCAAGTAACCTCCAGTTATTTTCTATACTGTTCGTTTCAATGTTCGTTTCTACTCAGAGACCTGGGGTTGCAAGTAGCTTAAAGTAACACAATTATTACAAATAATAATTTAGATTCTAGATCAATTGTAAGGCTCTGGTGCAAATGACTTAAACTTTGAAATGCTAACAAAACTGTACTCTCTGTGGTTGATCTGCATTGAAACAGTGATCATGTTGTTTGGATCACTTTTCCCGAAGCAGGAGAAAGGAGCGAGTGTGGGTGAATGTGCCGGGTCACCTCCTGAGCAGGGAGTCCAGGCGGTCCTCTCTGTTCTGCAGGCAGGACAGGCACTTCTGCAGCACACAGCTCAGGTAGTGCATCTTCATGGCCAGCACCTCGTTCATGTCCTGCTGGTGCACACACTGCTCACACAGCAGCTCCATGACCCGCGAGCACTTTAGCAGAGCGCAGGGGTCCACCAGGGCGGGCTCCTCCTTAACCAGCAGCACGATCTGAGACACAGAACACGGCACTTTATCATGTTCAGACTAACCAGTTCACCATTACAGTACAGAACAGTGTAAATTCTATAAAATATTGCACATTCTAGCCCAAGAAAAATATATAATTGTATGTATAAATCTACCCATGTTAGCAGCACGAGGGTTTGGGACAGAGTGACAGTGACACATGTGGTTCTCTATTGCACATTCTGACATTATTAAAATTATTATTGCACAGATGAGTAAAGTAAAGTGACATAAGTTCATGTAAACACAAGCCACGTGTGAATGATGATGAGTAAGGGTCCCAGAAGCGTTCAGACAGGAACTATATTGGCCGCTTCATCAGTATTCTGTTATTGAGTCCAAACAATCCCTCAGTTTTAAGCACAGCTAAACTGTTTTTAACCTGGATTTGAAAAAATTCTATTAATGCAAATGCAGCTAGTGTGCTTCTGCCCCAGAGCTATGACTTGTAAACACGTGAGTTTGTATAAATATCCTGCTCTAGTACGACTGACTTGCTGTAACCCCAGACATCTGGCTCGTTCATTCAGGTATATTTAGCCGTGTAAAGCCGGCGGAGGGTACCCTGGGGGATTCAGAATGCTCTGGAAAGCTGTGCTCTTCAACTCACAACATGAATTAATACATGTATCCTGTCTATAGTTGTAGCATTTGTTTTGTTTTGATTGGTATATTTAATCAATTGATTAAGGTTTTCTTGGGGAAACCAGATAAAGGTAAAGGTGCACTTTATTGATTCCCGTAGGGCAATTCATCGTCTGCATTTGACCCATCCTGATGCCGCAAAGGTTTACATCAGGAGCAGTGGTCGCTGTAGTAACAGCGCCCAGGAACCCATCTCCAGATGTTGATGCTCAGCTTGGTCAGGACTACCAGAGCTGGAGGATTTAACCTAGTGTGCATGTTTTTAGTGGTAGGGGAAACCGGAGTACCCGGAGGAAACCTACGCAAGCACAGGGAGAACATGCAAACTCCACTCAGAAAGATCCTGTTCCGACCGGGATTCCAACCCAGGTCCTACTTGATGAGAGGTGAGAGTGCTATCCACTCAGCCACCATGCCGCCCAAGAACACCCGGAGTTAAACCCTACTCAGACATGGGGAGAACATGCAAACTCCACTCAGAAAGGCCCTGTTCCAACCCGGATTCAAACCCAGGACCTTCTTACTGAGAAGCGAGAATGCTAAAAAAAATCAACTCCTCTCCTCACTCTGGTGGCAAAGGGATTGAGCAGGCGGATTTGTTTAATCATACATGTATATATTTTCCACTTAAGCTGTTATCTCACGTTCCAAAACATGAAATGACAAAGTGAATAGTCTCATTATAATTTTTATTGACTAAAAATAATGCGTTATAATTCTTCTGTTTAAAACTTTTTTTTAAATCCTGATATTTGAATTGAGAAGCGACAAAACAACTCCAGGTGTTTTTCTACCTGAGAACATGTTACAGGGTTATAGAGACAAAGTGAAGTCCTCATATGATCTGTCCCCCATTTGCATTTTATCTATTTAATAATAATAATGCATCGGTTTTATATAGCGCTTTTTTGGACACTCTACGCTTTACATGTCATTATTCATTCCCTCCATACACAGTGGTGATGAACTACTACTGTAGCCACAGCTGCCCTGGGGCACACTGACAGAAGCGAGGAAATCAGTCTGTGCCATCGGCCCCTCCGACCACCACCAACCATTCACACACACCAGACTCATTCGAGGCAATGGGGGTGAAGTGTCTTGCCTAAGTACACAACGGCAGTTTGGCCCTTACAGCCGCAGCCGCCCCACTGTGGCTGGTGTTCCCAGAGGTTAAGTGTCTTGCCAAGGACACAACGACGATCGATGGTGAAAGTCGGGCTCGAACCCACGACCTTCTGGCTCAAAGGCCAATGCTCTACCAACTGAGCTACTGTCGCCCTGTTTTTATTTATTTATTAACATGGAACAGTGTGTATGAATGAGCAGCAGCAGTTGTAAATACACCTGACTGTAGCTACCCCAGTCACACACACACACATTCATCACATCGCCTCACCTTGACCGGGTTGAGGTTGGTGGTCATGATGATCTTGTGCAGAGGGCCGGCCAGTCGAGGGGGCAGCAGCGGCTCGGCGTCCGTCCCCTGGGGCCTGGTGTAATACTCCAGCCGAGCCCTCGAGAAGAAGTTGTTGATGAGGGTCACACAGTCGTGCTGACCTGCGACACAGTGCGCTTAGTTTACTCACCGCTTTTTATAACTCTGAAGTTTGAATAACAGTAAAACGGCCCCAGACTCGCGGGCTGCACCCTCTTACCACCTCACAGCCTCAGTCCTCGTTCTACAGCCTGAGTCCTGGATCTTTTGCATGTCTGTCTATGGGAGCAGATCCCTCTCTCATTGTTTTTCGCTTTTTTCCTTCATAGCATTTTTTTGAGTCATTCCTTGCTGAAGCAGGAGGGAGTAAGGACAGTGAGGATCCAGGACATAAAGGGACATTTATGGACAGCGGTTATCCCCCTCCCTATGGACCAATGGCTCCTATTAGTTTTTTATTATTGCATTTCCTGTGTTCAAACTGTTGTTGGTGAATTGAAAACCTTGTCAATTCTTTCTGCTGTTGAGATTTATGCCTGCCATCAAGAAGGCCTCTGATCGGTCAATCCTCTTGGCATATATATTAATTTTTAAGCCAAAAGTAGTGAGTGTTATACAAACGATTACTGAGCTAGAGGAGTTTACTTGGAGCAAAACCATGAGGTCTTCCCAATAGGGCTTCATTGAGTTAGCGTGTTAGCATTGTTCATCTGTATACAGTCTATGGTGTGTGCTTGGGTATAGAGAAACGACTTCAGTTGGACACACTGCCTGACACATTAAACGTGTGTAACTCAGAAGTGGGTTTGAACCAGATCATAAATTGTGTCTGAAGAATATGTTTATGCTGTAAGATTTATTGCACTGAACAGAAGAATCCATGAAACATAAATCTGATATTTTGGTGAGGACCATACTGTTTTTGCACCAATGCTTTAGTGGAAAAACTCATTTGATTCCAAGACAAAATCCCAAGTTGAATGAAGGACACATTTAAAACCTTTTTGAAATGGACAAGCTTTCCCAGCTCAACGTGCCCGTTTCCACCTGCAGGTGGATCACTGACTTCCTGACGGACAGGAAGCAGCGAGTGCGTCTGGGGAAGAATGTCTCGGACTCTCGGATTATAAATACAGGAGCCCCACAGGGCTGTGTTCTTTCTCCCCTGCTCTTCTCCCTGTACACCAACCACTGCACCTCCAGCCACGACTCCGTGAAGCTGATCAAGTTCGCGGACGACACCACCCTCATTGGACTCATCTCCAACAACGATGAGTCCGCCTACAGGAGGGAGGTGGACCGGCTGGTGTCCTGGTGCAGTGGTAACAACCTGGAGCTGAACGCCCAGAAGACAGTGGAGATGATTGTGGACTTCAGGAAGAGCACTGTCCCCCCGCCCCCACCCTCCCTGATGGACTCCCCCATCACCTCTGTGGAGTCCTTCCGTTTCCTGGGCACCACCATCACCCAGGACCTCAAGTGGGAGCCGACCATCAGCTCCCTCATCAAGAAGGCCCAGCAGAGGATGTACTTCCTGCGGCAGCTCAGGAAAGCCAAGCTGCCTGCACAGATGTTGGTGCAGTTCTACACGGCCATCATCGAGTCCATCCTCACCTCCTCCATCACCGTGTGGTTCGCTGGAGCCACAGTCAGGGACAAACAGAGACTACAGCGCATTGTGCGCTCTGCAGAGGAAGTGATCGGCCGCAGCCTTCCATCGCTGCAGGACCTGTACGTTGCCCGAGCTCGAGGCCGGGCTGGTCGTATCACAGCCGACCCCTCTCACCCTGCACATGGACTATTCCAACCACTCCCCTCAGGCAGGAGGCTGCGGTCCATCAGGACTAGAACCTCCCGCCACAAGAACAGTTTCTTCCCCTCTGCTGTTGGACTCTTGAACACTTCGTAACCTGTCCCCCCCGCCCTTTATAAAGTCACTTTACTGCCCATCATACGTCACTTTACTTCACTGTACTGCTGTCACCTTACATTGTGTGCACCATGTGCACTTGTATATTGTAAATAGTAACTGTAACTCTATTTTAAATTTAAATTTATTCTTTAGAAGTGTTTTTTATTCTTATTTTTATTATATCTTTTTGACTGTTGCACTGAGCCAAAGCAATTTCCAAGTCTGTGACCTCCTGTTACTTACGTTGGCAATAAAAATGATTCTGATTCTGATTCTGATTCTGAAATGAAACTGTAGAAGTAAAATAACAGGACAAGCTGCATCATAAACTCTTCATAAACAAAGCCAGGAATTTACAACAGACATGAGTTTACTGCAGCTTACTTTCATTGCATTGAGCTAGTTGGTTAGCAATGTATAAATATCAATATATAAAGTCTGTGACAAAACTGATCTTTTTCATTCACACATAATTAGTCAGGTAATACTGTAATTGCTTGAATTGAGTGTTCTATCATTGTTTATTCAAGAGGTTTATTTTTGAAGTTTTATTATTATTATTATTTTGAGTACATTCTGGCTGTCTGAAAACAAGATTTGTGCGACAAAGCCATTTAGTCTAAATTCAAGAACTGTTGCTTTATTTTCTCATTGCAAGTGAGACATTTCTTGTATTTTGTTAAAACAAGATCATTCCGGTTGTCCCATTGGCAAATCTTGTTTTAAGGCAGTCAAAATGTGTATGTACTATATATTAAGTGACTAGATATTACTTGCAATAGAATATACAGTATTTTTTTATGTCATAGATTTTGTACTTAAGTCTTGCTTCTTCATCGTGCTAAAGTTGGAGGTTAGGTTTTAATCTTAATTTCTCTCACCCACAAACGCAGCCATTTGCGCCGCAGTCCGCCCCACAGAGTTGACCTGGTCAATCTCTGCTCCTGCGTCCAGCATCAGGGAGGTGATCTCCGTCTTCCCTGAGAACAAATGAAGGAGTGAATGTGAGCGAAGAGGAAGAGTTGGATTCAAAATTATAGATGTTTTTTTTTTTTTCATTCAAATTGGTTCACTCAAATATTTACTTATTTCACAATGATTCTGACAATGTTATTATTCTATGTTAATTCATATCAATATATTGGCTAAATTGGGATAAAATTAAGGTCATGCACTTAAATCTGGGTTAATAGAATTCTTTTTAGGATTGTTTCACAACAAAACAACATCCACATTTGATGGAAGACTTAACAGTAAAATAACATGCATTCATTGTTATTGTTAGAATACAAATTTTTATAAGTTTTATGTTTTCTTTTATTTTCTGTTGCCATGGTACCTGAGAGGCCGGCGAACATGAGGGCGGTGTAGCCGTACTCGTGCTGGTTACAGTTGACGTCGGCGCCGTGCTGCAGGAGCAGGCGGCACATGTCGGCCTTCCCCTTGTAGGCCGCGTGCATCAGCGGAGTCATGCCGTTCTGCAGGTTTAAGTAAGTAGGTAGGTAAGCTGAACTTGCGTGTGAAGTCGCATGGACAGGATGCAGGATGCAGTCTTTTAGAGATATAGAAATAATGTCTATAAACTGTATTTATAGTTTAACTCATCCAGTAACGAAGGGAGAAAGAAAGAGAAAAGGCGGGTGGGGGTTGGAAATAATTGAATTATACAAAAATACAACAAAAGGCAAACTGTATGATTAAGCTGGTCGTTGCTTTTATGTTCAACAAACAGCTCAATGTCTCTTTCTTTTTAAACTTTTGGGTTAGTTTTCCGAGGCACATGTTATTTTGAAAGGCCTTAAATAAACATCCATCCATCCATCCATTTTCTACCCTTTAATCCATTTCTGGGTCAGGGGGGTGGCAGTCAGAGATGCCACCCAAGTCTCATAGCACCAGCCCCTCACTGATCCTCTGCAGGTGGTGAGTCCACAGGAGGACGGCTGCTCTCTGAGTGTGAGCATAGCCTTGTTCTTTCAGTGGGGGCTTTGGGCAAAGTGGGGTTAAGTGTCTTGCCCAAGGACACAACGACAGCAGTCATCAGTGGGAGTCGGTGGAGAAGGTGCAGAGGTGGGAATTGAACCCACGACCTTCTGGGCTTAAGGCCAATGCTCTACCAACTGAGCTACTGTCGCCTTAAATAAACAGTTTAATGCTAATGCAGGAGTTAGACGGACATTTCAGAGGGTATTACATAATGCCTTTGTTGATATTGAAGAAATATTATGCATTACTTTTGGCCATTAAAAATGATAATGACATTATTTACTGCACTTTTTCGTTTAAGGTTTCGGAATGTGAAATAGTATCTCAGGTAAAAAAATATATATATCATGAAGTATGTACAAAGGGTAAAGTGTATAAAAGTATTGGCTGCAAACAAAGCCATTTGATGATGGGCAATAACAAAGACTTTTATCTTCTCTTTTCTTATCAGGGTTTGTCTCTTAGTGATTTTGGCACATTCTGTCTTAAGACAAATATTTGACAATAATCAGGATCAGGGTTTTTAGTGCTGAGGCTCAAACTGTGACAACAATAATACATTTTTATTTATAACGAACCTACGTTTCAGTTAGTAGTAAACATCAGTACATTCATACATTTTGTTTAGTTTAGGAAGGATCTTGTTTTCTTAGTAGAAATAAAGGTATTTGATTCTTCTTTACCGGACAATAACCACCTTTAGACAATAACAACTATCAGACAATAGTAAGTTAGCAATTCTATTACAGGTAATAAATAACATTGCCCACTTTCTGTTGAACCAAAAATCTTTAGTCATATTGTTTGCAGATGCCCAATGACTGTGTCTTTGAGCGTACATAACGGGTCACATGACTGGTCCATCTGATGGTGACAGAGAGGAGGGCTGCGGGCTACATTTAGAGCCTCTGCCATTATCAAACACACCTTCAAGGACCAGGGGCCACTCCACAGTCGCCTCCATCTGTCCCCCAGGAGCACATGTTGCACATAGCAGCCTCTCTTTCTTATAACACACATCACTGAATAATGCACCATTAATGGCCCTGACGATGATTAGTTCATTATAAACGGTCTGAAGAATATGTAGTAAAGTACAAATACCAGGAACAACTTGTCAGGTAGCATTCAGCTTCAATGGTGGTTGAATAGTGTTTTTTAGGATGAACCAAAACTTGTATTTGATAGATCCATGCTGCCTTTGGATCATAATTCTATTCTGAACATTCATCATTCTATTTTCTGATAATTTGAAATAGATTTGATTAAGAATAAGAGTTTTTTGGCAATCCCCTTCACATCATCAACAATCAGAATATTTGTTATTGCCATGTGAGTAAAAGAAATCACAGACGAGGAAATTGCTTTTGCTCATGTCACTCATACCACAGTAGCAAGTAATGGGTTTTCTTCATTCTTGCCAAAATGCCTGTGCGATTCTGCTTCATAAGACATTTGAAGCAGAACCGTTATACTTAAGTTTACACCTCTTCAAGCCTGTATTCAGGGCGTGATCATAGACCCGCAGGTTTAACTTCCTAGAATAGCTTTTCATAATGAGGCTGACGATTTACACCAGCCCTGAGATATGCAAGTACAGTATGATGGGTTTGACCATAGGGTACACGCTGCTATAAATATGTTTATGTTTCTGCAAGTCAACGTTGCGTCTCCCCGATCATCGCTGAGAGGAAGAAACGGAAACAGAGTCTACATTACGTATATGTTTGTAGACTCCGTTTGGTGTAAATTGAACCCTAGAGACCTGAAAAACGAGGCACAGATAAATAAACTCTCTATATTTGACTGCAAATCCTTATTTTTCCACTTTTAACAAATTTACAGAAAGCATTGCGCATAACAAAATGTATGCAAAATGTAGAAATATAATGCTTTAGTTTGTATGTATCTGTCTATCTACCTGTCTATTTGTGTTTGGGGGGTAGACTTAGAGACTCAGAGGAGACACGTGATGGTGGTTATTACAAAATCTGCCCGATCTGTCAGACTGACCACGCACCCTACATGGTCTCTGGAGAAGAAAGTCCCATGTTTGAGCCAAGGTTTAGTATACAACAACATTTTAGTGAAGGTAAAAACAGGGCACACACAGAAACTCACCGATCATCTCAAAGCCTAAGACAAACCAAGACAAATACAATTCACATTCTTTGAGGGCTGCATACCATTTTTGGACTTAAAAATTGACCAACAACAAGACGGCAGCATAAAGTATACAGGAAACCAACAGAAACTGATAAATATCAAATAACCATTCCACACAAACCCGTTTGTGATCTGTCGTCCGAACACTATTTGAACGACTCAACAACACATGTGAGCACTCCATCCATCCATCCATTTTCTTCCCCTTAATCCATTTCTGGGTTGGGGTGCTCATTTGAGCACTCAAGGAATGTTATTATCCCAGGTGGATGATACAAAAAGGAAGACAACGGGTATGGAAGAAGAAAACCACTCAAAACGACTACAACGATTCAAAGAAATAGTCTCCATACCATATATATATACGAAGGGCCACGGAGCAAATACTAAGAGCGTTTCGAAAACACAACATTGAAGTAATTAAACCTCTTAAAAAGCTCAGACAAATCCTCGTACCCCCAAAACACAAGATACAACCATAGACTGTAAATATTTACAGACGTAGTCACGCCATTGAAACTAATTTGCCACCACTTACTGTGGGCAGTTTCAAAATGGCCGCGAGGCAGGAAAAGGTTGAAAATGGCCGCGGGGCAGGAAAATGTTGAAAAAGCTAATTCGTGCATGCGTTAGCCGGCACAAGCCCCATTCATTTGACAAGTGCCTTTAAAAGTCCATTGCAGCTAAACTAGAGTGGTCCCAAAAAAATGCACTCCCCTCGGCATTGTCTTACATCTGGAACGTAGCGTTGGGCGAAGACTTTTGGACCATCCTGTAAAGACGTTTTTGCTTTACAAAAGCATTAGATAAGCAGGAGATAACACTGGATACAACCAGAAAAAAGTGCAATGAAACACCAGCCCCACAGGAAAAGCTAGAATCAGCAATACCTGATCACTGCAAAAAAATATAATTGTATTATGGACTGGGAAAATTGGAAAATAGGAAGAACATCAATACATAGATATGAGAGAAGATATGAGAGAAGATTGAATTCAGGAAGCGGGACACAGGGACCATCAACAGAGACTAGGTCTTCACCTTGGCTCACATTTGGGACTCACTTCTACAGAGACCACAGTGCGGTTGGGGCTTGGTCAGTCTGCCTGAACTCATCAGTGAACTTGGCTGTTAGGGCTTCTTTTCTGTCTTATATCAAGACAGGCGTTTCCCCCATGTTCCCTGTCTTTATATCAGTCCATGTTCAAAACATAAAATACCAAACTAGATATATAGATTATACCTTTAATTGACCTTTTTTTCCCCCATATTTCAGAGACAGTCAGTGTAAGCAGTGGCTTGGCAGCGTACCTCATCTAAGCAGTTTATTCTCACTTCGTTGATGGCCAGCAGCTGTGCGACCTCCTGGGCGTCACCTGCACAAACACATGTCATTGAGAAGAGCTCAAACAATCGGACCACTCAATGTGACGTGTCCACCCTTGAAACATAATCAACATTTTAGAATCACATGCGCCATCACACTGTCTATAACAGAAACAAGGGCTTTGTTCTTTAAACCTAGTATCAAAGTAGAATTATTTTAACATTCAGCCATATTACTAATTTAGCATGTTGTGAGATTAGCTTGTATCAACCTGAAAATGAAAAGTTTAGAGATCTGAGACAAAGTGTGCTTTATTCTCCAAAACTTTATTTTGAAATTAGGAATGTGCTGAAAACCAGTGCATTGTGATGTTAAAGAGTGGACATGTGAGGAGAGAATTTATCACCGTATCAGATAAAAGGTTTCCATTTTTATTTTTCTGGGTTTGTGGTAAAATAAGCCCTCCTCATAAACTAAAATTCACAAATAGACACGCAACTGCAGGACGTTTATCCCAGCCACTGTCAAACTGTAAAATTAGTCACTTTATTGAATTACTGTGAATTATTTCGACTTTCAAATGACCTAGAGTTGAACATTTGCTATTGTCACTCTTTTTTATTGTACATAATTATATCGTGATTGATTGATTGATTGATTTTGATTGATCGTGCATATATTTTAAACCTTTAACATATTGCACAAATCTGTCTTTTGCACAAATCTGAGTGATTCTATCTGTGCCAAATGTGACATGTTCATTCCTCCAGTGTGAGATCAATAAAGTCTTATCTTATCTTATCTTTTGTTGTATTGGTTCATCCCTATAAAAATAAGATCAATATTCAGAATGATGGTGTCCGAGGATGTGCTCGGTCAGAGAAAATTCTAGCGCTAACTGTTTTTCTGACACCGTGTCCTGCATCAAGGAAACACCAAGGTGAGAGAGGGATCCGCTCCAAAGACAGCACTGTTTACATTCATGTACTTTTAATGTGTGACCGGGGTTTAAGCGAATCAAACTGTCCGGTTGTTCTCCATAAATACTAAATTATATTTCATCTTTCACACAATGATGTAAATGATGAGCTGAACAAGGACTGATACTCCCTTTTTCTCTGACAGAGATGTGACCGAGGCCAAAGCTGCATGTGAAAGAGAAAGAGCCCGTACATATATTTGATGAAATCATTCTATTTTTAGTGGTTTCAAGGCACTTCTTACTCTTAAGGAACAAACACAAAGGTATGATTATTGTTGAAGAAAATTTAATTGTTTTTCTTCAATAGCATTTGATTGTCATTTGTCAAAAGTATCAACAATCGGATACAATATAAAAACTAGATTCTTAATCAAGCAATAATCAATTATTAAAACAATTACATAAACTCGATACATTACACTTATACTTGCATAGAGTAGGTTCTGAAACTGGTACTATAGAAAACTTAAACAAATGCTTACCTTATTATTAAAAATTATTGGTCAAAGTAGATTTTTTATGACTAGAAGTTGAAACATTATCCTGAAAACGGATCCACTTTTGAACATTTTTCTTCTATTCAGTTCAATTCAAATAACTTTATTTATCCGTGAGGAACAGAGCGGCAGTAGGGAGTTCATAAAAACACACAAACACTGACACTAGAACACAATATAAAAGTGCAAAAATGTATTTTATACGTATAAGTATATAAATTAATTCCTCTATGGCTCATTCCTGGACAGTTACGTTACACCACCTTTTTCGGGTATTTTGAAAGCATCGCAGTTTTGTCAAAATCGGCATCAAGTCTGTGTATAATATTCCAATGGAGTTTCTGTAAGATCCAAAAACATCTTACCAGCGGCGATGACCTGCAGCAGCTTCCTCTCGGCCGCGGACAGGTCTCCTTTCTGTGGGGCTGCCATTGCTTCTGTGTCTGCTCTGCTAAACTAATCCTCATTTACAGCATCCAGGGCCTGTCCGTCCTGCTGCTGCCATCGCCACGGTTACAGGACCACCCAACACAGCCTGGCCCGCCTCAGCCTCAATATTTAGAATTTAGCTTGATAGAATGAACCAGACCCTCAAAATAATGTAACTTGGTCTTTTCTAACGAACACGTTTACATTTGAGAGGGGAGGCAGCATTGCAGACCTATGCACTGAAAATCTAGCACCATCTTCTTGAAGTTGTGAGACAGGACGCTACCCTAGCTATAATCAAGTCTAGGATGCAAACACAGTTCTTTTTAGCTGTGCCTATGACTGATGACCATCAGGCAGCGGATCATCAGGTATTGTTCTATATTGTTTTTTTTGGGGTTTTTTATTTGAAAATTACAAGTTGAAAACACAACTCTGAGCCTGAAGTCATAGTGCTGTGGTGCAATGACTTGATACTAATGAACGCTGCTCAATTCTGAAACTTGGTCTGGTCAATGGTCTGATGGTTTTACTTTGCAAAAATAAATATATTTTGCAAAGTAAGGTGGCCAAGGTTCGACTCTGGATGAAAGCTGTATTTTGGATTAAACTTTATATTATATTATATGACAGATTGCTCAAGCTGCTTAATTGCTTAATCTAGACTATATAAACATTGAGGGCCAAATGAAAGATTAGATTTTGTAGGATTAATACACTTTGATAGGTAGTTTTTGTAATCAATTATAACATGATGAGTGTAGTGGACAAGCTTATAAAAAGACATGCTAAATTATTTCTCATTGCTTTGTGTCATTTATCATGACACAAAGCAATGAGAAATATAGAAAAATTCACAATTTTCTATGGAAGACTGTACAGTCTGCCAGGCAGGCCCCAGGCCTATCCATTTATTGTTAAAAATAAGAAATTATCTACATTTAATTTATATGAGGGGCGACAGTAGCTCAGTTGGTAGAGCATTGGCCTTTGAGCCTGAAGATTGTGGGTTCGAGCCCACTGTAAGACCTACTTCATGACTCCCACTGATGACTGCTGTCGTTGTGTCCTTGGGCAAGACACTTAACCCCACTTTGCCTGAAGCCCCCACGGAAAGATCTCAGCTCCTGTGGACTCTCCACCTGCAGGAGGATCAGTGAGGGGCTGGTGCTCTGTGTACTGGGTGCAGCTCTGACTGCCACCCCCCGACTCAGAAATGGATTAAAGGGAAGAAGATGGATGGATGGATAATTTATATGAATATAAACAAGTAATAGATATTGCATTTTACCATATTATTAAATATATATTTATACCTACTGTAATATAAACCTTTTTATGTGGTTATGTGGTCGGTATTGGGGCCCCCAAGGACTCTGTTGCCTGGGGCCCCGGGGTACCCTTGGAACACCACTGACTGTGGGATAAATAAAGGACCACAGAGATTGTGAATATTGCATGAAAGCAGCATCAGACAGTGGATGGATCTAAAACCAACTCCAGATCTGTGACTGATGAGAAATACTTCACACTTTCCCAGTCCCAGATCAGCACTGAGTCCTCGGCGTGTGTTGTTAAGTGTGAATGGTCCGCAGAGTCGCTCTGTGTGAAACCAGAGCCAGGTCCAGGACTGAGGCTCTGTAAATATAGAGCACAGGGATCACACGCAGCCAAATCTGTGCTGCTCTTTCACAGGACGCTCCAGACCCCACCACTGGTAAGACAAGATATTTATCTATGATTTTATTCAACTCAATAGAGAAAGTGTTTACAAGGAGAGCAGGAAATATTCATCACAAGTTTGCAGCTTAAGTTTTTTCAATCCTCCACAACTATTTTAACACTGAGACAGGATAGTAATAACATTGTTTACAGAAAAGGAATTGTGTAAATGATTCCATGAAATTATTCTGGTAAACTTTAGATCACTCTGATGTCCTCCGGTGGCTTCAGTTCAGATTGATCTGGGTTGAATTGAGATGGAATATTGTATTTGTGTTCTAAATAACTAATCACATGATTGCTAGATTCATCTATTCGTCGATTAACAAAGTGATCATGAGTCACAGTTCTAAGAAGTTCATTCTGGTCTGTTTTATTCTTTCCATTGTTTTCAACTTCAAAAGATCGTTGGACAGAGGGACCTGAAACTCGATGTTGTTAATGTCTGTAATAAAATCAATCATGTTCTAAAGATTATCTTTATGCTTTGGTCTCCTGCGTTTAAAAGCCCTGTCAATGCGTCGCTCATATGTTTCCAACAGGGGTTTCCAAACTAAGGTCCTCTTCTAAAGTAACCATAAACAGAAGATCACATAGTCATCCAGCCAACTTCAGCTCTCCCAACAACATGTTGTACCTCATTGTAAAGCACATGACCTGTGGAATCCAGTCATCGACTTTGTTTGACTGAACTGACATCTGTTTTTGATTGTATGGCACTGACGCTGGTGAGTAAACACCTGTCATTCAGACAACATTACCTCCATCAAATATGAACCAAGATATACCTCATTTTAAAGCTCAGAATATCAGCTATGAATCCAGTCACTTCGTGTTGCCAGTCCCTGGACAGTTCTGCTAAACTAAAGTGCTCTCTTTCTAAAAAGTGTTGCTGTTGATTGTTGAATGTACAAGATGTCCAAATAATGGAATTCAGAAAACATGGAAATAAATATGATGTTTTTGAACCAGAATATAGTGTTGATAGATAATTGAATGCATGTGTGTGTTCTCCAGGACTTGTATGAATACCAGTAAGCCACAGAAGCCAGTTCTAACAGGCCAGAGGTACAAGACCAGAAAAAGGGGTGAGTAGGATTAAAGAAACACTGCTCCACTTAAAGGACAGGCCTGAACTTCTATAAAGTCATTAGTGTGAACCATTTTTAAGAAATGTAATAACTGGATGATTGACTACAACACTGGTGGTGGTGATAGTAATTGAGTCATAAATAATAAAAGCGATACCCTGTTCATTGCTTTTAGTTTAGTTTGCATTTAGTTAATGTTTCAGTGGTTCTAACTCCTCTCACTGCAAGACGCTCCTCCACCTATTCTCATGAAGTCACAAATTTAAATGATCGGGCTAAAATGTACTAATGATATTATACCAAAATAGTTTGATGATATGCATAAATAATTTAGAAAACATTGCTCAAGTTGAGGCCAGACACTGAGGTTAGGGTTGTATAGACCTGTAACAAGTGAATCGATTAATCACAAATAATCATTATTGAAATAGTTGTACATTTACATAGACCTTAATCTACTGAGGAGAAATGTTTTGGTCAAAAGTTCTCTGACCTGTCAAGACTTAAACAAACAAATAATTTTAAATAATCAATGAATGGTCCAACTAATCAAGTGTAGTTAATTACATTTTTCTTGTAATGTCGCACTGCAAACAAATTGTAAAATATGAGGTAATAATTGCCAATGGGACAGTGCCATTACATTTATCCAAATTTGAGCAATTATTGATCACTTTTTGCAGTATGTAATGATTGCATGAGCCCCGCCCTCTGCAGCAGCCAACCTCTCACTGGAGCTCAGTCTTGTTTTGACAGCTCAAACTCTCTCACAAAAGCACTCGTATTACAAACACAAAGTTTATTTAGTCCTGAAATCATTTCTTTGTCTTTGCAATAGTCTGTGCTCTTTAGGGCAACGATTTATGCTTTTCCTTCTTGTAGCCCGCTTACTTTTTCTCTGGACTAAACCCAGAGGTAAAGCCAGTTTACCACAGGCCCCAGTCTAAAGCCTACAGGACAAGCCATTTCTGCATCAGGAATAACCAGGAACAAACAAGTGAATGAGTGGGACTTCTTCTGAGAGCAATGTTATGTAACTTCAAAATATATTGGCCTTGGCCTTTAATGGTTTGTTAAAAACCACTGCTCTAAGGTGAAAACTAATTCAAATCTTTTCAATGTTGTGATGTTGTGTGTCACAGATGAAAAGGAGAAGTTTGAGCCCACAGTTTTCCGAGACACCATTGTTGCGGGTCTTAATGAGTCTGGAGGAGACCTGGAGTCTGTGTCCAGGTTCTTAGACGTGGTGGGCTCTCGAGTGGACTACAGGCGATATGCAGACACACTCTTCGACATCCTCATCGCAGGGAGCATGCTGGGTACGTCTGAGAACAACAGCAGTGTTGGACTGTTCACAGCAACTGGAGGATCTTCACTCTTTTTTATGTACTGTGATTATTTATGATTTGAATGCATTGTGTGATCGTTTCTATCTTGCGTATAAACTGTGCTATACAAATGAACGACTAATCACATTCAAAATAGCTATGGATTATTCATTTATCCTTGTGACTACTTCTAAACAAATGGAAGAGTGGATTAAAATAATACATTGGTTTTTTTTTCATATCCGTTTACATGGGTTAGTTAGGGTTAGGGACTTTGACTTCCCTCCTGCCTGTCACATTTCCACATTTAACTCTCTCCAGTGGTGGATCACTACAATACCATTCTTTCTGTAGAAAGGCTCTCCAGTGCAATTACCTTTATCATAAAACTGAATTTTAATGTTGACAGAACTTTTATGAAAATGTTTTATCCTTGTTTTATTTAATCGGTTTCTACCTTCTCTTTTATTTGCTGGTTTGGAGCATTATCACTGAAGAGAAAAAAGGATCTGCAGCGTACTCATCCACACGGCTCATATTCTAAAAAGAGCCCAAATCTCTGGACGCCACACGCCCATCTGGCAGATATAGCTCCAATAAATGTAGAACTAATAGATTTAAGAACTCCTTTATCCCTGTTGCATTTGGCATTTTAAACCGCTCTGTAATCCTGCTGTATTGTGTATTTATTGTATCCTGTTTACCTTTCTGCTGCTGCAACCAAATAGCTCCTCAGGAATAATAAATCCCTTGAACCTTGAACCACAAACAGTGTGGGACAGGTCAGATCAGATCAGATTCATTTATTTGCCATTTGCAGTAAAACCACATTGGAAAAACTGTGCAAGACTACCCCGGTGTGCGCCAGACAGAGACGACACACACCAGAGCTCTTGCCACGGCGCCATCTTTTCCGGCGCCATGCGACAAACAGTAGAATAAACAGCAGAGAGCAATAACATACAGGTTACAACAGACAGTTGGATAGAAAACATTGTGCTTTGTATAAACCACGGATTTTTTTTGGGATGAGCACCTTCTGCAGCCGGCCCAATGTGGCTGTCAGAGGGGGGCGGGGTCAGGGAGGGGGTGAGTCGGAAACACAGTGAGGAGGGGAGGGGAGGGAGAGATCAGAGGGAGGCGGGGGGAGCGGGATCCAAGCTGGAACTGACTGAAAGAGTGTGAAATTGTTGTAGAGTCCAGATTTATTATGATGGCCTTGGCCCGAGGAATGTGAGATAAGAGTGGAGGGAAGACACAGCAAGGAGAAAAACACATCTTCCTGTAACGAGGGACAATATTGTATGCATTTTAGCAGTCAAAAACAGGCAGATATTCTATTAAATCCAATTAAACCGAATTGCGGCGCCCTCAGACCCCGTACACAGGGGCCAATCCAAGCCGGGTCAGAGAGTTCAAGCGTGACAAACAATGTCATTCAATCTCAATTCCAGAGTTTTATGCCCATCAAGTGAACGAGCTGCGAGATCTCTGATCAACTGTTCCACTAACACCACTCTTCTTTATCCAGCCACAGCGCTCTCAACCACGACTCGGTTAAGCTCCTTGTACATCCCATCAATTTTGTTGGCCAGCAGGTCGTGAATCTTGCGAACTGCCATGCCTCCGAATTTATGGTAGAATAGAACCGCTCCAAACCCAAACAGGAGGATCCCCACCACCAAAAAGCCAAAGATATATACGTCTTCCGAATCTTCAATGGACAGGGTCGACAGACAGAGGGGCTGCCACTTGTTCCAGCTGTCAAGCGTATAACCCGCTGGTGAAGTCCCGTCCGGGCACTCGGGCTCTCCAGACCCGCGCTTACGTGTTGAGGTGTGACTACTACTGTAACCACACCTGTCCTGGGGCAGACTGACAGAAGCCAATCTGAGCCAACCCCTCGACCAGCACCAATCATTCAACACACCACACAACGCTTTAGCAGCATAAAGCGGAACAGGGAACGCTACATGTTTCTAAAATGTTTGTAAAATGTATAATAATGATGTCAAAGCGTGTTCCAATAATGAACTATGACGTGTTCTATGGACAAATCCGCCTGACACGTGTGTGTCCCTGTGTCCTCAGCTCCAGGGGGCAGTCGTATCGATGAGGGTGACAGCTCTAAGGTGACCGCCGCCTGTGTGTTCAGAGCAGAGGAGAGCCACGCCTCTCTGCACCTCCACGCACAGGTCTTCAACAAACTCATCCGGAGATACAAGTATTTGGAGAAGGCCTTCGAGGAGGAGGTGAAAAAGGTACTCTACTACTGCAAAGGAAATGACATAATGGAAACACTGGAAATACTCTTTTGCAATTTAGTTTTAACTAAGGGTCAGTCAACCGGAGAACATGCAACAGGCCTCATGAAGAGACATGTGGACCAGGGTTCGGTGCTTTTCACACATGCAGGGGTCCCTCGGTTTAACGCGGTTCATCTTTCGTAGCCTTTGCAGTTTTTCAGGGTTTTTTTTGTGAGAAATGTTTCTGTTGTTATTGGAATTGATCCGATCTATAACGTTAGACTGACCGCTCCAACCAACCCCCGGCCCCGCTGTGGTCTCAGGAGAAGTGAGTCCCATGTGTGAGTTAAGGTAAAGGCCTCCCTTGTCATGCTGATGGACTGTGCCCCCTGCTTCCTGTGGTTCCCGTGTGAATGTGGTCAGTCTGATACACACACCAAACATCATCTCCAAGCCACACTCACGGCCCACTGGTTGAGAAACACTGCAGTAGCGGGCTGGCGTTCAGCTTCTGTAACCACGCTCTCTGCCACAGCTGCTCCTCTTCCTCAAAGCCTTCAGTGAGTCGGAGCAGACCAAACTGGCCACGCTCACGGGCATCCTGCTGGCCTCCAACATCCTGCCGGCCTCCATCCTCAGCAGCCTCTTCACCGACAGCGTGGTCAAAGACGGTGAGCGCCGCCGGGGCTCAGGGCCTGGATGTCCCCTCACCACTGTCTGTAACGGTCTCATGTGCTGCAGGGGTCTCCGCCAGTTTCGCCGTCAAGATGTTCAAGTCGTGGATCGCAGAGAAAGACGCCAACTCCGTCACCTCGTCCTTAAGGAAGTCCGGCCTGGATAAGAGGCTGCTGGTGAGACTTTGGTCGCAGGGGTTCTGGGGATGAGGAAAAACGGTTCATCTGGTATTCCCAAGTCATTCAGAGATGATAGAGAGGCTCTCCATAATTTCAATATCTCTGTGGAATGAAGAGATTCAAAGAGTTCGAATCCAAAATGTTTATTACCCTAATACAATAAGTGCTCATGCAGAGAGCTCCCTATGTCTACGATCAAGGCGCTCCTTTGCCTCTTTTTTTCCTACTGATAAGAAAAAGTCACAGCCCACATCAGCAACTTTATAAATCATACAGATGCCCCGCCCCTTTGGTGGAGCGTCAGGGGAAAGATGCTCGAATGCATGGCAGTATTTTGACAAATTTTGATTGATTGATTGAAAGTTGTTTGCCCAGTATAGACAACCAATCATTGAGTTAGGACTAAGATTCACCATGGTTACGATCTTAGGATCAACTTTGACCCTGGACTCTTAATTTCCCGGTGATGTCAGATGATGCAAGATACATTTACCTCAGCAACAGTGACCCTCACACACATCAGCAGTAAGACCAATAGATCTTCTAACAGTTTTTAGTCCCATGTGTTGGGTGCTCCCTGGATGCATTGTGTGCATATTGCAGTGTGTACATTAGTGTTTTAGTGTGCCCATAGTCACTGATATTGGCCGATCTCAATATATCAGTATCCAATCATTTCTATTTTTATACTTTGATTGATTTTTGTACAGCCTACTGGTTAAGACAGCAATGATAGACCTAAACACATTATTAGTCTCCTGCACAACACAACAGCTGAGCCTCATGCTGTATATATGCATACACAAAGCACTTTCTGATTAGTTTGGTTTATTTTGATCATAATGAACTGAAACGACAATATCAATAATCATAATAATAATAATAATACATTTTATTTATAATGCACTATACATTTCAATGAAATCTCAGAGTGCTACAGAACAGGGAAACATCCCTAAGAATACACAACATTTTTAAAAAATTACTAATTTACAAAAAATCAAATAGACACCATCATGAACACATAAGTATCAAATCAAATACAGGCATCTGTTACCAGAGTGATGAGGGATAGTCTTCTTTGTATCAGTCCTGAAGAAACCATACCAGACCTCTAATATGTGTGATATGTGTGAACATGGCGTCCTGCAGGAGCTTTTCCCTCCATCGAAGCAGAGCGTGGATCACTTCTATAAGTTCTTCAGCGATGCCGGCCTCAAAGAGCTGTCAGACTTCCTACGAGTGCAGCAGAGTCTGGGCACACGCAAAGAGCTGCAGAAGGAGCTGCAGGAGAGGCTGGACCAGCACCTGCCCATCAAAGAGGTACCAGCGACCTTCACACAATTCCATTCAACTTCTCTTTTGTATAGTGGTCGGCAAATCAAAATTGTTGATTTGTTGTTGAACAACAGATCAGAAAATCACAGCTCGAACAAAAGGTATACAATAATAATACACACATAGGAGAAAGAGTGGGAAGACCAATGTCTGTAAATGTAAATATTGTTAAATGTCCCAGATCTTGACTGTCCTTAGACCCTTCTGCATCGGCAAGGAACCACTCAAAAACCCAGTCAGGGTAAAAAGTGAGGAACAAAAAAACACACAGACAAGCTATAGATTCAGGACTCTGTGTAGGACCTCCATATGCAGCTTGACTGACAATCTGTGTTTTTATCTCACTTCTAAGTACAACCAATACTTCAGAAGACAACACCCATAGTGCTTCTTACAGTTAGTCCAGAACTCCGCGGCGTGGCTTTTAACAGGAACCAAAAAACGTGAGCACATTTCACCGGTTTTAGCTTCTTTGCACTGGCTTACCTGTGCAAATTACCCAATTTTAAGATTTTATTGTTTGTTTTTAAAGCTTTGAATGGACTGGCCCCTCCGTACATCTCGGACCTCATCCAAATTTATCACCCGCCCCACGCGCTGAGGTCCGAGGGCCAGCTCCAGCTCGTGGTGCCTAAGACGAGGCTTAAAACTAGGGGGACAGGGCCTTCTCTGTGGCTGGACCAAAGCTCTGGAACGCTCTGCCCCCCCACGTCAAAACTGCTCCCTCGTTGGAATGTTTTAAGTCTCGTCTTAAGACGCATTTTTACTCTCTGGCCTTTAACACCGCGTGAGTTGTGTGGTCCTATTTTTTTTTTTTTTTTTTTTTTTTTTTATTCTTTTTAAATTGGATAACTAGTATTTTATTGTTTTTATCACATGTTTATAGTTTACTGGTATTTCATTGTTTTTATTAAATTTGGAAACGTTTTATGAAATGTGCTATATAAATAAAGTGGATTGGATTGGATTCTCCTGTCCTCAAATGAGATTGGAACTACATCTATAGACCATGAAGGAACTGAAATCAAAACTTTTTGATTTATGTATTTATTTGTTTTGTTTGTATAGATGGATGTGTTTCTGCTGCTGCTGGACTCCCAAATTTCTCCTATACGGGGGATAAATATAGTATCTATCTATCAAAAAACAAGAGTAGCAAAATACCCAAACTATGCAATCCTGGTAAAACTTTAAGAAGGTCACACGCTGTTTCTGTTTTTTGTATGACGGCACTGGAAAGCTAGGATTAAGCGTATGCTAATGCGAAGTGTGTGCTAAAATGAAGCATATGCCAACATGAAATTCAAGTGTTGCCATTTCCTGGTGCGGCCTAACTCCATGGTCCTGCTACAGTTGGTGCTTTACGTAAAGGAGGTGATGAAGAAGCACGAGCTGCAGGAGCCGGCGGTGATGGGTCTGCTCTGGAGCTGTCTGATGAACGCAGTGGAGTGGAACAAGAAGGAGGAGCTGGTGACGGAGCAGGCCATCAAGCACCTCAAGGTACCACCAAACAATTACACTCGTATCTGGACCAGTGGGGCAGCAGGGAGGGCAGGACTGACGCACATCCAGAGTTCAAGGCGGTCAGTCGTCTGGAGGAATTGGTCATGGGAACCGACGGGACAATTTCAGCATGCTAAGTCAGACGACGCCGTTGGGTCTTCTGATTGGTTTAGCAGAGGAATACTTGTGTGATTTTATTTTCTATGTTTTTATTATTTCTTGTGATCTTAAAGATGCAGTGAGTGATTTTTTCCAGACGCATTATTTTAAATATTGTGTGAAAACGTCCCTAAACCCTACAAGTAGTCAAGTTATTTTGTGTTTTCAAATAGTAATGGAATTGACCAGATGCCTATAGTCTCCAAAACAATTTCAAATCATTTTGGAACGGACTGATAAAGATAAACCAATGGGGTTTGTTCATCCCCAACGAACCAATGGGATGCGTTACTCCCCTTCACCCTCTTCCTGTTATCGGATTTTCTAAAACCTTAACTGACTGAACAGAAAATGCCAATTTCACGTTTCCCACCCACTCTCCCTGTTGTAACAAAGAAAAGAAAATGCTGGATGTTTGGTTTGGTGAAGAGGCGAGGAGAGGGGGGAGTGGTTTCCAGTTGGTGCTACGGCTAAGCTAACAAAATCACTTACTGCACCTTTTGTTTTTATTGTATTTTTTATGTTTATGTAGATTTCAATGTTTTTGATTTATGCCTGATGTGATATGGGTTGTGAGGCGCTTTGTGTTGCCTTGTGTAGGAAAGGTGCTCTACAAATAAAAGTTGATTGATTGATTTGCTGTTAATTATTGAAGGCTAATCTAAACTGTTACCGTAAATTGTCTTACCAAAAATTATAAATAAATACAATTATTAGTAAATAATAATTTTTGGTTAGACAATTTAGTAATATTTCTTCTTTAAGTCTTTAATGGTGAACAGCTTGATTAGAAAACATCATGCAAAGTAGCTCACCATGTAGCTCACCTGAGTACCGTGTGTGCAGCTCTACGCCCCCCTGCTGGCCGCCTTCAGCTCTCAGGGACAGTCTGAGCTCCTGCTGCTGCTCAAGGTCCAGGAGTTCTGCTACGACAACATCCACTTCATCAAGGCCTTCTCCAAGATCCTGGTGCTCTTCTACAAAGGTACAAAGGTACAAACACACACAGCAGAGCCTCACCTTTATTTCAAGTGTCATGAATTGACAATTAATAAGCAAACACAAAATATGTCATTTGTCCCAACAGAAAGAGTGTTGTTTTGAGACTCGAGAGCGAGAGACTAGTTGGATGGATGCTTTAATAGTTAGACTATGTCATGATGTGGCCTAATTTGGATACTTTTACCTGGTTTTATTATGCTATATATTTGTTCTTTTGTAGTTTGAGTTTGCTTCATGTGTGTCCTGTTGATTTGAAAAAGATAGGCCACAAGCAGCAAATGCTATTGGTATTGTAGAAACATGGTGGATTACTGACCAAGGACAAGAATCTTGGAATGTGAAGAGAAATGGACAACATAAGGAAACAAATAATAAGAAACAGCAAAAAACAGTACAATATAAATGTATTATCAGAATCAGAATAATTTTTATTGCCACGTAAGTAACAGGTCACAGACTTGGAAATTGCTTTGGCTCAGTGCAACAGTCAGAAGGAGAGGTAAGGGTAGAGAGGCATAATAAAAAATGAAGAATAAAAAGCACTTCTAAGGAATACATTTAAAATTATAATTAAAATAGAGTTACAATTACTACAATACAATAGACAGTGCACATGGTGCACACAATGTAAGGTGACAGCAGTACAGTGAAGTAAAGTGACGTATGATGGGCAGTAAAGTGACTTTATAAAGAGCAGTAGGGGACTTCTAGAGGGCGGGAAGGTTAAGAAGTGTTCAAGAGTCCAACAGCAGAGGGGAAGAAACTGTTCTTGTGGTGGGAGGTTCTAGTCCTGATGGACCGCAGCCTCCTGCCTGAGGGGAGTGGTTGGAATAGTCCATGTGCAGGGTGAGAGGGGTCGGCTGTGATACGACCAGCCCGGCCTCGAGCTCGGGCGACGTACAGGTCCTGCAGCGATGGAAGGCTGCGGCCGATCACTTCCTCTGCAGAGCGCACAATGCGCTGTAGTCTCTGTTTGTCCCTGACTGTGGCTCCAGCGAACCACACGGTGATGGAGGAGGTGAGGATGGACTCGATGATGGCCGTGTAGAACTGCACCAACATCTGTGCAGGCAGCTTGGCTTTCCTGAGCTGCCGCAGGAAGTACATCCTCTGCTGGGCCTTCTTGATGAGGGAGCTGATGGTCGGCTCCCACTTGAGGTCCTGGGTGATGGTGGTGCCCAGAAAACGATAGGACTCCACAGAGGTGATGGGGGAGTCCATCACGGAGGGTGGGGGCGGGGGGACAGTGCTCTTCCTGAAGTCCACAATCATCTCCACTGTCTTCTGGGCGTTCAGCTCCAGGTTGTTACCACTGCACCAGGACACCAGCCGGTCCACCTCCCTCCTGTAGGCGGACCCGTCGTTGTTGGAGATGAGTCCAATGAGGGTGGTGTCATCCGCGAACTTGATCCGCTTCACGGAGTCGTGGCTGGAGGTGCAGTGGTTGGTGTACAGGGAGAAGAGCAGGGGAGAAAGAACACAGCCCTGTGGGGCTCCTGTATTTATAATCCGAGAGTCCGAGACATTCTTCCCCAGACGCACTCGCTGCTTCCTGTCCGTCAGGAAGTCAGTGATCCACCTGCAGGTGGAATCGGGCACGTTGAGCTGGGAGAGCTTGTCCTGGAGCAGGGATGGCAGGATTGTGTTGAAGGCAGAGCTGAAGTCCACGAACAGGACCCTGGCGTAGGTCCCCGGGGAGTCCAGGTGCTGTAGGATGTGGTGGAGGGCCAGGTTAATGGCGTCGTCTACAGATCTGTTGGCTCTGTAGGCGAACTGCAGGGGGTCCAGGAGGGGAGAGGTGAAGGACTTGAGATGGGAGAGAACCAGGCGTTCAAATGACTTCATGACGACAGACGTCAGTGCCACAGGTCTGTAGTCATTGAGTCCTGTGATCCTGGGCTTCTTCGGGACGGGGACGACGATGGAGGATTTGAAGCAGGCCGGGACATGGCAGGACTGAAGAGAGGTGTTGAAAATGTCAGTGAAGACTGGAGTAAGCTCACTGGCGCAGTGTCTCAGAGTGGCCGGAGACACGTGGTCCGGGCCAGGGGCTTTGCGGGGGTGCAGCCTCAAGAAGAGACGTTTGATGTCTTCTGAGGCTATTGTCAGGGTGGGGGCAGAGCTGATGGGTGGGTCGTTAGAGTAGTGGGGGGTGGGGGAGGTGTCCGGGGCAGCATCAAAGCGGCTGAAAAACCTGTTCAGGTCGTTGGCCAATTTGTGGTTGTCAGCACAGGGGGGGGCTTTTGGCTTGTAGTTTGTGATCTCCCAAAGGCCCCTCCAGACAGAAGCAGTATCGTTGTTACCAAACTGCTCCTGTAGTCGTTCTCTGTGCCGGGACTTGGCTGCTTTCAGTTTGTCCCTGAACTGATATTTAGCCGCCTTGTAGCCGCTGCGGTCCCCCTCCCTGAAAGCAGACTCTTTTGCTTTCCTGAGCTGCCGGAGTTTAGCAGTGAACCAGGGTTTGTTGTTTTTATAGACGACCCTGGTTCTTGTTGGAATAATGCTATCCTCACAGAAGTGAATGTATGACGTCACCGTGTCCGTGTATTCATCCAAACTATCTGTGGCAGCTCTGAAAAGGTCCCGATCTGTAGATTCCATGCATGCGCGCAGCTCTTCCACAGCCCCGTCAGACCACACTTTGGAGCTCCTCACTACAGGTTTTGAGAGCTTTAGTCTCTGTCTGTAAGCAGGAACCAGATGAATTGAAGAAGATGAGCCAAGTCTGGGATCGCGTCTTTCATTCAGACAGAAGACATGTTTTATTGTCGATGGTAGAGACAGCACGAACACAGAATGCAAGTGTATTATACAGAGCGGAGGCATGGAGACCTCCAATCAGCAGCTTCCACGGTGCCATGTAGCTTGGCCTTCAGATAGACAAAACAAGGGAAAAGTACTGGCTTCTGCACATTGATAGAATGATGAGTTTACCTTTAACAAAAGTTGCTTAAAAGTGTTATGAAATCTCACATTCCCCCCTCTGGTCACACATTCTCGTGTGACCATCAGGATTGATAAACAGCAACATAACATCATAACTCAATACTTCAAAAACTCATAAACTCTGTACTTCACTCGGTACTTCAAAAAACTCAGAACTCGGAATACTTCAAAAACTCATAGAACATGTTGAGATCTTTCATAAAACTTGTCAACAAACTTCATCAGTCGATGGTGGTTCCAGATATTGCTTTGAAAACAGTCTCTCCCACTTCTCCGTGTTGGTTTCTTCAGGCTGCATTTGTGTCGAGCCATGAATTCTTCTGTGACGTGTCTTTCAATCACACGTTTCAGCTTCAGTGTCCAGATTCAGAAATCCAATTCAGTCCAAATTATGTCCAAATTCAGAAATCCAATTGTTCCAAATGATGTCCATGCAAAAGAGGACGATGGTGTTGTCCATGTCTCAGCAGCTCACAGCCTGACTGGAATCAGGGGCTGTGCAGATAGCGAACTATCTGAATGACGTCACTAAGACACGCCCCCGCCGCCTGTCAACTCCCGCCCACATGTTTCGGACAAACACTGCCGAAATGAATCAAATACCACTTGTCACTTTAGACGAAAATGATATACCAGGGGCAAAATTCCACCATCAAACCATCAGGGATCATAGTGTAGACCAATTATAACGTTGGCTTGAATGTCGTGGTCTTCCAGTGACTGGTAGAAAGTTTGAATTGATAAAAAGATAATGGTGAGGATTATGCTAACATTATCTAGCCATTTAAATTGCAATGCTAGCGCCTTCTTTGTTTGTTTTGCTGTGATTAACTTCCATTTATCAAGTTGTTTTTGCACTATCCACTTTGTAATTAGTTTGATCATTAGTTAGCTACAGTCAGCTGATATTATAATAAATCCATGATCACAACGGGTTACGCCACTGTCTCTGAGAGAAACTATCAGAGCTAGCCACACTCAGTAAACGCAAATGACAATCAATCAACACATTTAAATGTTAATGGGAGAATACATTATACACATTCATAACACAAGTGCACGGAGGTTTTCAGAATTAACTGTTCAGGTTTTCATGACAAAAATACTTTTTTAATGCGACTAAAGCGATCGCTTTTAGGTTAACTATCCTCACTGTTACTCGCCTGCCACGGGAAAACCTTTGGGAACTATTTTCTTTGCACTCATTAAATAAACCTTTCGGCATGAGTAGTGAATGACGTTTATTTTGTGTGTTCAATTGGTACAAAGCCGTATAATAAGCAGACACAAAGTTGAAAAAAATCCCTCTCATCTTTCTTCAGGTGTGAGAATTGTATACTTTCTGGATTAGGACAAACAATACTAATATGGATTGATGGGGGTAAATGGTGTAAAGAGAAAGTTTGTGCTAACTACATTCAGAAGAGCTCAGACGGACCTGATACAGCGGTCCAGATCCAGTCCCAGCTAAACGTAGCTAGGACTGGATCTGGATGCTCCACAGTTGGTCCAGCGAAGTGTTTTGAAAAAACATGTGCCCTTTTTAACCTTTTCATGAGAGAAATTCTGCCGACCACAAGCACCCACCTGGTCTGATCTGGTCCTGGTCTGGTCCTGGTCTGGTCCGATGTTGTGGTTTAACGAACGGGTTGAATGTTACTTTCATATAGTCCTTATCAGAGTATCTGAAATCGCTCCGACAAGCACCATAACTGCAGTGTTTTGTTGTCACCATGATTCAATGATTTAGCCCAAATAAATACACACGCGTATGAGGAGAACACAGTAGAACTCAACGAGTCGTACACAATGTTTGTCCGAAACATGCGCGCATGCGCAGTCATCTGAGCTATTTTTAGCACATTTCGGAAACCGGACAGTGCCCTATTGTCCAAGTGTGCTGGTCCAGATGCATTCTCTTGAGGTTTCTCAGTTTTGGCTTAAAAAAAAAACACATTTTTGTGTAAAAAAAAAAAAGTCTTCTGTTCTCTAGATGTTACAGACAAGGCCCGCATTCTTCCACCACCTGAAGAAGATGACAAAGTCTGGGATCGCGTCTTTCATTCAGACAGAAGACATGTTTTATTGTCGATGGTAGAGACAGCACGAACAACACGAACACAGAATGCAAGTGTATTATACAGAGCGGAGGCATGGAGACCTCCAATCAGCAACTTCCACGGTGTGCTTGTAGCTTGGCCTTCAGATAGACAAAACAAGGGAAAAGTACTGGCTTCTGCACATTGATAGAATGATGAGTTTACCTTTAACAAAAGTCGCTTAAAAGTGTTATGAAATCTCACAGAATCATGGAGTGGTCTGAGAAGCCCAGGGCTGCGCGTGGAAGAGCGCGGTAAGCTCCGCGCACAGTAGTGTAACAGTGATCCAGAGTGTTCTCTTCTCTGGTCGGGCATGTGATAAACTGTCTGTATTTGGGTAATTCCTGGCTCAAGTTTCCCTTATTAAAATCCCCCAGGAGAATAATCAGAGAGTCCGGGTACAAACGTTCCATACACAGTACTTGCTCTGCAAGTGCACGCTGAGCCTCGCCCGCATCCGCGCATGCCGGTGTGTAAACAGAGGCAAGAATGAATGAAAAAAACCCGCGAGCGTAGTAGTATGGCTAACAATGAATGAAAAGATATTCCAGAGCAGGAGAACAGTGCTTGGAGATCACTGTCACATCGTTGTAATTATGAAGAACCTACAGGGAATTTTAAATAATGCCCATGTTTTTTCCCATGTTATTGTCCGTGTTATTGCTCATGTTATTGCCCATATGTTATTGCCCATGTTACTCACTGTCTATGGTGTGTGTCTTAGCGGATGTGCTGAGTGAGGAGGCCATCCTGAAGTGGCACAGAGAAGCTCACTCGCCCAAAGGGAAGAGCGTCTTCCTGGAGCAGATGAGACCATTTGTGGAATGGCTTCTAAACGCTGAAGAAGGTTTGTGACTGTGAACCAGGCCCTGTTCAATACTATACAACTGTATTTATCCAATGAGTCACTCCACTATAAAAACATGTGTAGATGTGTATTGTGTAGTTAGTAACTTGTAGCCTGAATGGGCAGGTTAATTCTACATCATTATTGAGACAAAGAAAGGATCACTGAGATGCCATTCCATCTGGGGCTGGCCTCCTGCTGTTTCCCAGAGTCAGGACGAAACATGGGGAGTCAGCCTGAGCATTTACGCAGCTAAAATTGGCAGATAGTCCAACAATATTCACAAATCCAGGTCTGAAACAATTGTCAGTGGTGCGATTATTTGAGAGCTTTTATACTGTGTTTTAAGCGCTTTGAGTGGTCTAGTCAAATGCAGTCCCACCATATTGCTCTAGTCTCTGCTGCTGTGATGCCGGGGTCTAGTGTCTCGAGTCCTTTGTAGTCGCACTTGCCAGACCATGTGCTCTCATGTAAATAAACAAAGAAATCATTTTTTTAAAATTCAATGTTGCAGGCAGCGCACATACAGGACATTAGTAAGAGCACAAAGGGAGCACACAAAATGTACAATACAAGTAGCTGTAATGCTTCTTAACCAGCTGTAAATGCTTCATAAGGTTTCACAGAAGGGGCAACTATAAGATCCACAGAAGGCATGAGTCAAAGATTCCTCCCTAAAAGATAATGTATGTATCAAGTTTGTCTTATTATCATTTGTTAGAGGGTTCACTGCATTAGAGACCAGGAAAAGTGTGCAATGCCATGTACCACCACCAGATGTCAGTGTTTCCTCTGCTCCACAGAGTCTGGATCAGAGACAGAGGAAGCCTGAGGTCAGAGCCCGGTGACCCACATCCTGCTGGAGAAATGCTCTTTGGACACAAGATAGATAAGATGTTACAAAAGTGTTATTTTTGCGAAAATGTGTTTTATCTGTGCTTTTATATTTAAATAAATGTTTCATTACTATGGTTTGCATTTTTACTCACATAGGACTGATGGGGCAAACGACAGTATAGAGCAGGGTGCCCAAACTTTTGAGTAAGAGGGCTGTTTAGTAGTGATCTATAGCCACAGCTGCCCTGGGCACACTGACAGATGCAAGGCAACCAGTGTGTGCCATCGTCCTCGACAACCACCACCAACCATTCACACACACAATTCTAGGCAGGTGGCAGCACAAACCAAAACTACATGTCTGTCTGTACGAATAAAGCAAATAACTGGATTCTAGCAGTTCTGAATTTTATGAAAATGTGTTCCAAGCATATAAGGGCTGAGCTGAAGTTGGCTGGATGACACTATATGCGTGTGTTTATGATCTCAAAGACTACATTGGGTTAGTTTTTACATCCCTGGCATAGAGATATAATTGTTCAAAAGTCAAACTGTAGACACACTGGTGGAAGCCCCTACATCTATACACAGTAGCTCAGATATAAGAAAATTAGTAATACATTTATCTCCACATGAAACACCAAAACAGAATGAATGCTGATGGCTGTTTGTCTAATTGTGTAACTACACCTTTGTTATGTGTTTCTTTTACAAAAGCTCAGTGGATAAAGGACAGTTACAACACTGGGACTGTAACCAGAAAGAGATTGGACAAAAATCAGACTTAGCTATTTACTTGTCAACCAGGATAATCTGCACATGTCTCTTCAGTTCAAAAACCTTTCCTAAGACTCGTAGTGAACAAGCCACATTTTGTTATCTGCATTTTGATTGTGTGTTTTTAATAAATAGTGTTTTAACGCAGGGATCCAAAATCTGCTCTGTCATACGTAGGCGGAAGAAACAATAAAACAAATCCCTAAACATTCTGTTGATTGTGCTGAGAGATAAACGAAGGGAATAATAAACAGGACTTTAGGGCAGCCAATGAAAGAGCGGAATGCAGCAGAGCCCGCCCCCTCATCATGTGCTTTGAACCATCAAGTCAGCGCACCACACCGGAAACACCAGGGAGGGGGTCCGCCAAAACAAAAGCAGTGTTTGATGGGAACAACACCAGCAAAAATAAATGGATTATCTCTGTATGAACGTTTGATAATCTAAAGGTGAGAAAATGTTATCTAGAAATTGCATAATATACAGAAAATGTGTTGCTTGTGATGTCACTGCTTTGTCTGAAATATTCCACATGACATTACATCTGGCTTGTACATTTCCCCAGTGTGAGATCAATAAAATCTATCTTATCCTATCTTGTAGTTGTGTTAATAAAGCTGCGGTATCTAACTTCATATTCTGTGTGTGAGTTTGCATGTTCTCCCCGTGTCTGTGTGGGTTTCCTCCGGGTGCTCCGGTTTCCTCTACCAATACGTCGGGCGCGCCCATTCCATCTTTGTGCGGAGTGAGACAACAACTGCCCACAACAATTGTAAAATGCTTTGTGAGTCTGGTCTGTGAAGGGCACTATATAAATAAAGATTACTTGCTTACATAAATGTGCGTTTTTTGTTTGTCAGACATCGGCATGCGGTCTTCAGCTTCAAAACGTGTCATCACAACATGTCCCGAATCCATTTCATCGTTATTATTATTATGAGACCAGAATCAAGACACATCACAGCTTTGCATGGAATATGTTAAAGCTGGGGTACTTAACTTCCAAACTACAAAAAGAAATTCTCGTTCCTTTCTCAAAACAAATTTCTTTCATCGCTAGTTTTCACATGCATGTATTTTTACCGTCTCTCACATCTTTAAATCAGCTTTTCAGACAGAAAAGTGAGAGAGAAAGGACCACCCTCACTCAGCCAATCAGCTCTCAGCCCAAAGCGTCAAATAGTGACTCACTGAGCTCTTACACAAAAGATAACATGTTTTCTAACTCTGATTTGTTCGCAACATTTCACTTTTACAAGACTTTCTATTGGGACAAACAACATACAGTATATTATTTATTATTTATTTATCCCAAAGTGACATAGGCGAGGCAAGTTTATCCGTATGGCACAGTTCATACACAATTGCTCAGAAAAAAAAGAGTGAAAATACAAACCTTCAGTTTTAAGCACAGCTAAACACAATTATTTTAACCTGGATTTTACAGAGTAGAAACCTGTCTCACGCTTTCAGGAAGACTAAACCGCATCCCAGCTTTAACGTATTTTGTGTTGTATATATACTCAATTTATATTCACTCATCTTCATGCCAGCATCAAACCCACCTGTATTTTATTCTGAAACGCGTTCTGTCTGCTTCCCCTCCCACATCGCCGCATGACGCATCAGTCTGAGGAGAGGCTGTGAGGAGATAGTATTCCAACGGGACGTGAATGATCGCCACTTTACCCTCTTGTCTCTTATAATCCAAACATTCCTCTCTCTGGCCCCTCAAGCGCCCTCTCAGTCCACACGGATCTCCTTCTTCTTCTGCTCCTGGCCACATCATGATGGGCTGCGCCGGGTTCACCTGCTCCAGACACTGCCTCTGCGCGCTCAACATCCTCTACGTGGTCAGTCTGCTCACGCTTACGTCTCTCATCTTTGTTTTTATAGTCTGCGTGTCCTGTTTGTGTTATTGTCCGTTATTCGTATATGGCAGATTGCGTAAACGTTCATTTCTGACGCGTCTCTGTTGTGTGCGTAATTGGCTCAAAGGTCAGTTATTAATAATTGAGTGGAGCGGAGACGGGTGACGTGCGTTTGATTTCGCAGAAGGAAAAAGCGTGAGATTTAAATGCGTGGATTTTGTGTTCGTGAAGGTGTTTGTGTGTGTTTTATGGCAGAGCAGCAGTAGTGAGCTTTGCCTGCTGCTGCTGATAGCGCTTATCATCGACCCCGACATGTGCGTTCACCTGTGCGCCTGTGGAACACTCTGGGACGCTTAAGTCAGTTCAATTTATTTGTGTATAGCACTAAATCTCAACATTAGACGTCTCGGAGGATTTGACAGTTCATCAGCAGCAGATTAGAGAATCAAACAGTGAAGGAAGAAAAATGCGATGAACAGACAGAAGACATTGGTCTGAGACATAATACACGTTTTTTAACCATGTTCCAACAATGTTCCTCATATCCCAACTCTGCAGTTGTTTTTAGATCCATCTCATGTCAGGAACCTCTGCATCAAACATGAGTCCTGTAATAGTATGATGTCATTGTACCGCTATGACGTCAACTGGTGACCAAATTAGTCTTGAACATTATTTCTCTGGCGAAATAACCTTTACCTTTACTATCACATGTGTTTGCTGATGGTAATATCAAAAAATGATAAATAACTCAATTCTACACCTCCCTCTGGTGGTAGAATGGGAAAATTGCATTGTACAGCAAAAGTATTGTAAATATTTTCGTCATAATTTTAATGGCCACAAATAATGCTTCATGTTTTTTTCTTGAATCCTCAGATAGCAGGACCCAATTTCCTTATGTGGAAAAGCTTTGTGCTGTAACAGGGAGAGAGATGTTGCTATGGCAATCCAGAGTTTCCCTCTACAATCTGATTGGTCAACCTTAGATATGACTCATACCTGGATTAACAAAGACAACATCAAAAGATAAACACCAGGATCACAGAGAGCACTAAACCAAGGATTTTTAAGCCAAAAAACTGTTACTGAGCTAGAGGAGCACGAGAGGACCAAGAGCACTTCACTATTGGGCTTCATTGAGCTAGGGAGTTAGCATTGTCAGATAGGGCTTTAGTTTTGCCCACCTAGATTTCATTTTAAAGAGAGGACCACCCTCACTCAGCCAATCAGGTGTCTCCTAGACTCACAGGACTCTTAATGCAAAACATACTCAGGCAAATGTAATGAGATGAAAACTGCAGGTAGGGGTTTGACCTGTTCACTTTATACTTTTCTCTTCTGTTGACACAACCAACATGGATTGGTGATTAAATAAAAGTTAGAAACCCAGGCTTTAAATAATTATCCACTAAAATATATATATATACTTATGTGTCTCTTATGTTCTCCATCCATCCATCCATTTTCTACCCTTTAATCCATTTCTGGGTCAGGGGGGTGGCAATCAGAGATGCCACCCAACTACAATAGGATAAAGTCACTAAATAGTATTAAGATTTATTTTATTTTTTATTTTTTTTTTCTTATGTTCTCAAAAATCTTAATACTATTTAGTGACTTTATCCTATTGTAGTTGTAGTGGCGATTTGTCCATAACTTAAACCTTAACCAACTTTAACAAAAACAAATCAAAAGGCCACTTTAGGTGTTTTCAGGTTGGCTTTACTGAAACAAAATGAATTTGATGTGTGTTTCATTTACCAAGCAAATGGCAAACATGCAAACTGCAGCCTGTCCTCTTGCTGGTAAAAAAACAAAACAAAAACCTATGTTCAAGATACAAGACTGTATTTGCCATTTGCAGTAAAACCACATTGGAAAAAACGCCTCTACGCTGCGCTCTCCCACCATAGTCCTATTTAAAATGATATTAAATAAGCGATAATAAACACAAAATTAAAAGGGCTAAATGTAAGAATGTTAGATTATTATAATTTATACTGTATCTAAAAATAGACGAATAGCTCCAACAGTAGTCACGAGAGAGGACTGAAACAGGTTTGTGCTTGTTTATTTCATATTTTTACATTTATCTGACTTGTGATTATAGCAGGAGTAGGAGCAGTTGTAGAGGTTTGAAATAGTGTTGAAGTAGTGTCTCGGTGTATTCTGAACATCTGCTCCTGTGATAGTGACTGTGTGTGAACTCAGAGAGACTTTTCTGAACATGTGCATTTAGTCTCAGGAGGCTGCAGTAGCTTTGCCATTTACAAGATACAAGCATTTATTTGTCATTTGCAGTAAAACCACATTGGAAAAACTGTGCAAGACTACCCCAGTGTGCACCAGACAGAGAAGACGGCACACACCAGAGCTCTTGTCATGTGTATTTTTACTGTTATTATCTAGTTATTTCTAATGTACGCTCCATAGACTGTATATAGATGGACAATGCTAACCTGCTAGCTCAATGTAGCCCAATTGTGAGGTGCTCGTTACGGCTCCTTTCCCTATGCTAAGCTGTATCAAATCACCGTGGAGCAAAATTATGTAAAGTCAAAATCGCAAAGTCATGTGAGCTCTATTAGAAAAGCTCAGTAAAAGTGTGAGATGTGTGTCCTCTCTGCCACAGATGGTGAGCCTGCTGCTGGTGGGCATCGCGGCGTGGGGAAAGTGGCTCGGGCTGGTGTCCAGTTTCCAGGTGGTGGGGGGCCTGATCGGAGTGGGGGTCTTCCTCTTCTTTGTGGCTCTGGCCGGGCTCATCGGGGCCATGAAGCACCACCAGGTCCTGCTCTTCTTTGTATCCTTCACAATCAGGTCTTTCAGGACGGGGGCCAGGCCGGGGGGGGGGGGGGGGGGGGGTTGTTTGTGCAGTGATTCTCAGTTATTTCCTCGTCTTGTTCAGGATGCATTTACCTCTACCTGAGGCTCTCGTGGTGCCTCGCGAACAGGTCTGGCTGCTTCAGACCCCAGCGTTTGGTTAAGGAGTGGCTCCACACACTGCACCATGATCCTTACGTGAGAACTCAAAGAGAAGGCTGTCTCCTCGGTGCGGCATCTGGCCTGCAATTCTTGTATCAATTCCAAACATAATATAATATTAGCAGCGTCGTGCCCGCCCTGCACTTACCCTCCTGCTCACCAGAGACAGTAGGGAGGCCGTAGTCCAAAGTCCTATTTAAAAAAATATTTAGTGTAGGGATGTACAATCGATGCCAGCTAAAGATACTCAACACATTAGAATGTTGTGAAACACTGTCAGTCGTGTCAGAAATAACAACAAACTTCCAAGAAAGATGTGATTTCAGTATTCCTAAAGTATTTCACTCTGAGTAAAGACCTGTATAAATTTCTCAGAGGACCATGTCTCCCTGCCGGCCTGGGAATGCCTCAGGACTCCCCTCATGAGCCGTATACCAGTGTGTGAAGTCTGGGTGTGTCTGTCAGACTGCTGCCCCGGCAACGGATACAGCGACGAAGGATGTGTCCCTGTAAGTGAAATGTAGAGTATGAGAGGACTAGTGACACATCACTGATGACAAAACACAATACGACATTCAAAAGGTTGATTCATCTCCACAGAAACATATTTTGAATGTTCTTGATTCACAAATGTCCTCTGTCCCGCCTCCTCGAGTGGTGGGGCTGTTGATCGTCCTTTTGTCCCGGGCCTGGGCTTCCTCCAGAGCCAGCGTCTGCCTCCTAAGGTCATCGCTGTGGGGACAGATCCCTGGATAAACAGCGTATCCTCCCCACAGCGCAGGAATGACCCGCTGCAAACAATAGTAACTGCTTTAAATCTGCTGAAACAGGATGTGAGCACAGCGTCAGGATAAGAACAAGGCCTGGACTCGGACGTGAGGGCAGTGGGCACAGACTAAACACTGGAACACTTTTCTATGGAGCACAAGCTAAAACAAATAAGCATTTTCTCATCAGTAAAAGCTGGATTTGATTGAAGATCTGGGGACGAAGATAAACATGGATGAAATAGAATGTTTTAACTTTACTACAACAGCCTAACATAGGTGGATATCATTTCTGTAGGCTCTGTTTAGAAGCAGGGAATATGCCCAGAATAAATAATTATAGCTGTGGGTAAAATTACCAGTGGATTGTGCAGCGCAGGAGGGAAAGACCCAAACCGTATGGACCAGAGGCTCCTATGTGTTTGCTTCGATTGTATTTAGTGTAAAGTCCTCCACAACGACTACTGTTGTTTTGAACTGAATTATGATGGAAATTCGATTCAATTCAATTTATTCTTGTATTGTCCTAAATCATATCAGTAATTATCTTGGAAAGAAATAGAACAGAAAACACATTGGTGTTGGTCCATAATGGGCAGAAGTCCATAAATGTTGAAGTCTTGGATCATCACCGTTGTTCTTCTTGTTAGACCTCACAGGATTAACATGACATGAAACCTATTTGCTGAACCGGGACCACAGGACTTTTAGTATGTTGTTCTGGACACCTCATACAAATGATCTATTTATTATTTATGTATTCATTTATTGAACAGGGACATTGCAAGTCAACATAGAACAAAACAAAAAGAGTTTATGGCTATTGCTAATTTTCACATCCAGTCCCTGGTCAGGCCTTTCTAGACATTGTAAATATGCATATATACACTGTTTAAATCATACAGACACAAACTCAGTGTGTGGCTGCGGGTCCAAATCTGTCCTCAAGGGCCGCTGTGGCTGCAGGCTTTATATCAGACCAAGTATGAGCAGAGCAGACCTATTTTCTCAAATCTTCAAGTTAAGATTGAACTCACTGCTCTGCTAAAATCAAAATATCGAAACGCCATTTTGCCTGGACTAACTGAAATGCCCCTATTTTTGAATGGACTTGTGTGCAAAAGTGAAAAAGATGTTATCATGACACAGGTGCAGCCTCGGTCTACTGACTCTGAGGCTGTGTGGTGGAAAATCCATTTATGTATGCATGTGCAAGAGGAGAGCAGGCTCAGATGTCAGTGTGGCTCCAGGTCTGAGTCTGGACCTGGACCTGGACCAGGACCAGGACCAGCAGGGGGGCAGCGGACATGTTCTCTTTGTGTGTTTCCTTAACCCTCTGAACAGTACATGGTCATCCTGTTCTTGGTTTTCATAGTACAGTTCTCGGTCTCCAGTGCCTGTTTGGCCATCAACAGGGACCAGCAGGTAAGTCTTCCACAAAACACCTCCCACCTCCAGCCAGACCCCCCTGACCATGGGCAGCCTCTGACCAGTCATTGTAAACATGAAGCAAGGGCGGAACATTGAGGATTTCACAAAGAAGTTTCACAATTAAGTTTCTATTCACATTTTAAAGTAGCAATATGTCAGATTTTCATGTCAAGTCATCATTAAATGGCCCCAATCTGTCAAAAGGCATTAATAAACCATGATCTTTCCAAATACTTCTTTAACTGATAACAGTAGTTTAGCCGGGATATTCAAATTTCAAAATTAGATTGTTGTTTTTATTTTGATGTCCCGCCCTTCACCGCTTCACCTATCAGAAAGTTTGTGATACGGATTGCCAGAACTCACGCGTTGAGCTAATCTCACTGGTAAAGTAACATGTGGCCGCAGGACTAAAAAAGGTCTTATTATTCTCAAATCATTTATGTCAAAACAAGGAAAAAAAGAGTATTTGTATCAGGGCCTTTGTGAAAAAGGTGTTAGTTATAGATTTGTTGTTGACAAAACTCTTGTCTATTCAGTTAATATGGTCCCAGCTGGATTCCTCTGCATATCTGGCAACCTGAGTCAAAGAGGCTTTAGGCTTTGGGCCAGTGCAATAACATACTGCACTTTAGGCTTTGGGCAAGTGCAATAACATACTGCACTTTAAGCTTTGGGCAAGTGCAATAACATACTGCACTTTAGGCTTAGGGTAAGTGCAATAACATACTGCACTTTAGGCTTTGGGCAAGTGCAATAACATACTGCACTTTAAGCTTTGGGCAAGTGCAATAACATACTGCACTTTAGGCTTTGGGCAAGTGCAATAACATACTGCACTTTAGGCTTTGGGCAAGTGCAATAACATACTGCACTTTAGGCTTTGGGCAAGTGCAATAAAACACTGCACTTTAGGCTTTGGGCAAGTGCAATAACATACTGCACTTTAGGCTTTGGGCAAGTGCAATAACATACTGCACTTTAGGCTTTGGGCAAGTGCAATAAAACACTGCACTTTAGGCTTTGGGCAAGTGCAATAACATACTGCACTTTAGGCTTTGGGCAAGTGCAATAACATACTGCACTTTAGGCTTAGGGTAAGTGCAATAACATACTGCACTTTAGGCTTTGGGCAAGTGCAATAACATACTGCACTTTAAGCTTTGGGCAAGTGCAATAACATACTGCACTTTAGGCTTTGGGCAAGTGCAATAACATACTGCACTTTAGGCTTTGGGCAAGTGCAATAACATACTGCACTTTAGGCTTTGGGCAAGTGCAATAAAACACTGCACTTTAGGCTTTGGGCAAGTGCAATAACATACTGCACTTTAGGCTTTGGGCAAGTGCAATAACATACTGCACTTTAGGCTTTGGGCAAGTGCAATAAAACACTGCACTTTAGGCTTTGGGCAAGTGCAATAACATACTGCACTTTAGGCTTTGGGCAAGTGCAATAACATACTGCACTTTAGGCTTAGGGTAAGTGCAATAACATACTGCACTTTAGGCTTTGGGCAAGTGCAATAACATACTGCACTTTAAGCTTTGGGCAAGTGCAATAACATACTGCACTTTAGGCTTTGGGCAAGTGCAATAACATACTGCACTTTAGGCTTTGGGCAAGTGCAATAACATACTGCACTTTAGGCTTTGGGCAAGTGCAATAAAACACTGCACTTTAGGCTTTGAGCAAGTGCAATAACATACTGCACTTTAGGCTTTGGGCAAGTGCAATAAAACACTGCACTTTAGGCTTTGGGCAAGTGCAATAACATACTGCACTTTAGGCTTTGGGCAAGTGCAATAACATACTGCACTTTAGGCTTAGGGTAAGTGCAATAACATACTGCACTTTAAGCTTTGGGCAAGTGCAATAACATACTGCACTTTAAGCTTAGGGCAAGTGCAATAACATACTGTACTTTAGGCTTTGGGCAAGTGCAATAAAACACTGCACTTTAGGCTTTGGGCAAGTGCAATAACATACTGCACTTTAGGCTTAGGGTAAGTGCAATAACATACTGCACTTTGGGCTGGTGCAACAAAGTACAGTGCAGTATTTAGGTTTCTGAAGAGCAAGAATACGGGGGGCTCTCTGTTTTGATGTCCTATTATTAATTAACTGTTTTTCTGTGGTCCTGGAGGTCTCTGATGGTGCTCGTACCTGTGTCTATTTTGGTCTAATGTTAATGTCTGCTGTGGTGTGTGCAAATGTATGTGGTGTAAAGCATGTGAATCCCTGTCCAAAGACAAATTTCTCCAATGGGTGACATTAAAGCAACATCTGATCTTCTCAGATGGCCAGATCATGTCTGAGCTCTGCTAATGGATAAAGGAGGAAAACATGAATGGATGGATGTGTCACAGACGTTAAATGTATGTTTTTCTGAAGGAGCATCTCCTGGAGGTGGGCTGGAACAACTCCCAGAGCACCCAGAGAGACCTGGAGAAGAGCTTAAACTGCTGCGGCTTCAGAGCAGTGGACTATAACAACACCTGCACAGCTGTAAGTAACATTACACTGAGAACAGCTGTGAGTAACATTACACTGAGAACAGCTGTAAGTAACATTACACTGAGAACAGCTGTAAGTAACATTACACTGAGAACAGCTCTAAGTAACATTACACAGAGAACAAGTAACTGTACTGACATAAACCTGAGTTGTCCATCACTTTAGCAGCAGTAGCTTGTTTCTATTGATTTATAGTGATTTAATGATCTGCAGCAAGTTCCAATAAAGTTGGCTGATCCATGGAACCACACTATATAGTACTAAAACTGAAGGCCTTGAAACTCAGGTTGGCGCCACCAGCTGTATATTTAATGCAGCTACACCCAAGCCAAGACCTCCTATTTTAGACAATCAGACCAATAACATGAATCAAATTTTTAAAAAAAATGAGTACGAGGTTAAGTTGGTCAGCAAATAAAAGATAGATTTAAAATTACTGATAAAACTTAACTTCATATTGAGGATAACTGAACAGCTGTAAGTATAACAGTGTAGCTCAAACTGTGGTGGTGGGGGTGGTGTATCATGGTCATGAAATAATGTAATAATTCCATCTTCACTTGGAATGTTGATAATAAGTTACAGTATACAAATATTCTATGATTCAATTACAGGCAAAACAAAAGAGTCACATCTTCAAGGACAACGGCAGGTTTAAGGACACTAAACCCAGTTTCTAAAGGTCTGTGTCTTTGTGCAGACGTGTTTCCCAAACCACTCATGTCAGCCGTGTGCAGACAAGATCCAGGCGCACGCAGGAGAGCTGCTCCAGATCGGAGGAGGCATCGGACTCTTCTTCAGCTTCACAGAGGTCGGCCCACAAACATATATTTATTTATTTATTTGTTTCTTTGATAGGGACATTAATGAAGTGCAGTGGAACCCAAATGTAAACATGACAGATTATAGCAGCAAAGCTAGTTTTCACCCATAGTTTGAACAAAGACAAATACATGCTTTACAACATACAAGACAGCAGCACGAGGAAACGTGCAAAAGTATTTAGCAGTTGCTGATTGTGCTGTTGTCCCCTTCCCCAAAAGAGAGGGGTTCTTTATTTCATCATAGATACACGTTAATGTGAGAGAAAGATTGTGGAGAAAAACTGGAAATCACTTTGCATGATTATTAAACACTTAATCGGCACCAATACCAAAAGTTCAACTCAATACTTTGTAATATGACCTTTGTGACATAGTCTTCACCAGGTTTGCACACACTGTTTCTGGTATTTTGGCCCATTCCTCCATGCAGATTGTCTCCAGAGCTGAGATTTTCAGGGGCTATCACTGGGCAACACAGACTTTCAACTCTTCATAGATTTTCTATTTGGTTGAGATCTGGAGACTGAGACAGTTCAGGACCTTCATATGCTTCTTACGAAGTCACCCCTTCTAATCTCATTACAAAACCCCAGATAAATCTCAGAAAATTTAACTATTTTCAAAATGGACTGTAAACCACAATTATCAACATTAAAACAAACAAAGGCATATGTCACTTTGCATTTAATGAGTATGCAGCATGTATGGGTTTCACATTTTAAGTTGATTTACAGAAATAAATTTGCTATATTCTCATTTTTGACTCTCACCTTAATTCTATAGCAAAGTGTTTTAACGTTTAACTCCAGTCCTTTCCTCTGTTCTACTGTTAGTCCCCTGTTGTGCACATAGATATAGCCTATTTGCAAAAATGTGACTAAACAGCAGATTAAATAATTCTTTAACACCACATTTTTCATACTTGCTTGATTCGCGCCACAGTTTATTCTCTCTTGTGTTTCTCCAATAAAAATCCCACATTTACGTTTACAGATGCTAGGTGTGTGGCTGACATATCGCTACAGGAACCAGAAGGACCCTCGAGCCAACCCCAGTGCTTTCCTCTGATCCCCCACCGCGACCACGGCCCACCCCTCTGTAAATACCGTCAGGACTGCTGCTTTCGTCTCAACACGGGGAGAAGATGCAAAAGAGACTCTGAGCTAAGGGCTGTGTATTCTTTCACACACCTATTTGTGAGCTTAACTTAAGTTTTTGGGCTTTTTTATATATTTATATGTTCAAATATGAGCAGCTACTGGGCCTGTGTCGCAATAACATAGTAGGATAAACGATATATTGACATCAGAACTCCCAGAGCAGACGGCTTTTAGTTTGTGTAAGTGTTGTTCTGTGACACTAGAACTCTCAGAGCCGTCAAAAATGAGTAAGTAATCTTTATTTATGTAGCGCCTTTCACAGACCAGAGTCACAAAGCAATTGTTGTGAGCAATTGTCTCTCACATGAGAGCGGGGTCACCATACAGGAGGCACATGCCGGACCTATTGTACATATAGGGGAAACAGGAGCACCCGGAGGAAACCTAAAAGAAATGAAATGAAATGAAATGAAATGAATTGTTGCAGTCAAAATGACGGCTCTGGTATTTCTAGTAGTTTCAGATTTATGGTAGTCTTAGTGTTAAACAGTGGAAATGAATAGTGAGAGATTTAGCGTGTGATGAGAGTGACTTACACAGCCCTCAACAGTTGTTTTGGATCATGTAGACAAATCAAATCTTGCCACGACTGTGTACAATACTATACTGATAATGAGCAGTTCTCCTTTTGCTTGTGTAATTTATTACAAGGCAAGGCAGGTTTATTTGTATAGCACAGTTCAAACACAAGTCAACTCAAAGTGCTGAACAAGACAAGAAGACATTAAAATCACATGAGGCTTTAAAATCATAAATAATCACAGTGCATTCAAAAGAGATCATATAAAATCCCTCAGTTGTAGCACAGCAAAACAAAACCTTTTTTAACCTGGATTTGGACATTGTCAGAGAAGAAGCCTGTCTCACATTTTCAGGAAGACTGTTCCAGATTTAGCAGCATAAATCAATATTGCATCTATATTGTAATGTCTTATACTAACAGAATTTCGCGCATTATAACTTCTGCCACCAGAGGGCGCGTTTGAGTGGTCTCTGTACTGAGAGCACTGATCAGTCGTCATGACATTTTTAAAGGAAAGGTTCTTAATATTTTCATTTTAAATTACATTTGCATCTTGACCTTTTATGATCAGTCAGTCAAGTAGTTATTTAAAAACACAATGGACCAGTTTTTATGTGAAATGTATCTGTTTTTTGCTCATTTTATTTTCTGTTTTTGTATTAACAAAACTCACAAACAAGCAACCGCACATGTGTTTACATGAAATAAGATACAAAACAAAGTTGTTGCTTTCATGCAATCTCTCTAAGATGTCTATGTTACCGCCCAACCTCTCTGTCAGAGCGTTGATGAAGAGCTGGTGACACACACACACAATATACATATATATATATATATATAAAAAATTGTCCACTCACCTTTGGCCCTCCGCGGGCGGTTATCCCTCTCTAAGCTCGGGTCCCTACCAGAGGCCAGGGAGCTTGAGGTTCTGCGCAGTATCTTTGCTGTTCCTAGCACTGCACATTTCTGGACCGAGATGTCCGAGGTTGTTCCGGGATCCGCTGTAACCACTCTTCTAGCTTCGGGTCACTGCCCCGAGTGCACCGATCACCACGGGCACTACTGTCACCTTTACCCTCCAGGCCCTCCAGCTCCTCTCTGAGACCTTGGATTTCTCAAGCTTTTCATGTTCTTTTTTCCGGATGAAAAAAGAACATATATATATATATATATATATATATATTATATATATATATATATATATATATATATATTGTGTGTATATATTATATATATATATTTGTGTATATATATATATATATATATGTGTGTATATATATACATATATACACACACACAAATCTGTTCACGGTTATGACTTTCCGACTCCAGCAGCGAGTGGGAATTCGGAATATCTGAGATTGCATTAAAGTGACAACAATCCACTGAGTTTGTTCTGTTTCTAGCTGAACTCCAGCAGGTGGATTGCATGAGTAATCATGCAGAAGTGCAATTAGGTTGAATTATGAAGAGTGACTGTCGGCAAGAAACAGATGAAGAATTATTATTTATTTATCTTGATTTGTGTTTTGTGCGTGTGCGTATGTGTGTGCGTGTGCGCGTTTGTGTGTGTGTGTATGTGTGTGTATGTGTGTGTGTGTATGTGTGTGTGTGTGTGTGTGTGGGTGTGTCCCAAAGCAACAGAACTTGTTTCAACTACAAAACATCAACACAATGATAATAACAGTTAAATAGGTGTGTACCAATTTGTGTGTTTGTGTGTGCCCGTGTGTAATAGTTTCAGCAGTGTCTAGTTTAGCAAAAGTTGGAAAATATTTTTAAGATAATAATTTCTCTGAGAAGTAGCTACACCAATTAAAATGGCTTAAAGATATTAATCCATATTTTGGATCATATTCATTTCTTTATTATCAAAGCTGGGTACCTAACTCTCAAACCATAAATACACAGAACTTTCACATGTTTGTATTTTTTGGCCTCAGATCCTGATCCTCAGATCAGTTTTTTGCAACAGAGAAGTGATACATAGAGGACCACCTCAGCCAATCAGCTGTCAGTTTAGTGACTTACACGGCTCTTTTTACATGTAAAAAGATATCATATTTCATAACATAATGACGGCAGCTTGTTAACGTGTGATGTGTCCACAACATTTTACGGTTACAGGGATATTTCTGTTGAGACAAAATAGAGCTTGATTTAAAAAGATTGCCACAGCTTTAATTCATATTTAATCTATAAAGTTTATTTGCTGCTGATGGACTGGGACTGCACCCACAACCATCTCTGGGGTTCGCATAGAGACACACTGGGAGGATACTAAAATGCCTTATTATGTGGTGGGCAGACTGGTGCAGGGTTAGGGAGTGATAGAGAGGTCCCTGAATGCACCACGAGGTCGGAATATTGACGTTTGAGTGAAAAGTGTACAGTTGTGTTGTCGTCGGCCTTTTGCATGTTGTAGAATATGAACTGCTGTAATGACTCTTTGTCAATAATAAAACGCTAAGAACAAACAACACGCCGTTTGGATCAGTTATTTGTCTATTCAAAAAACGTTCTATTTACAAAAGTCACAATTATAAAATGGTATAAAAGCAAACGCACACTTTCAAATAGACATCATTGCACCGCCTCTAAAGGAGACATACTGTATTATGCTAAATTGATTTTTTTTAACTTGAACATCATCGTTCCTCATCAGTCACAGACCTGGAGCTGATTTTAGATCCATCCAGGCTAATATCAGGAACTTCTTGCACAAACGTGTAGCGCTGCCCCTTCTGTCTAAAAGCCCCTGTCTCAGACCTGTGATAAAATGATGTCATTGCACTACTATGACATCACACCTAACCCTACTCATAAGTTAAGTTTTAAGAATGTCTCAAACCACAGATGCCTTGGAGCAGACTGACAGAAGCAAGGCAACCAGTATGAGCCATCGGCCCCTCAGACTCATACTAGACAATGTGGAGGAAGTGTCTTGCCTAAGGACACAACATATCAGGAACTCACTTCAGAACTTCAAATCACTGTTCAAAACCCACCTGTTCAAGGCTGCCCTTTCCCTCACTGTTTATTTTTCTTATTAACCTCTGTTCTTTTGTAAAGCATCTTTGAGTGTCTGAATAAGTATTATTGGGAACACAGTTTGGCCTTTTTATTTCAATTCAATGCATTTTTGTATAACCCTAAATCACAACAGCAGTCGTCTCGGAGGACTTGACAAAGTTAATTTGCCAACACAGATCAGAAAATCAACCACTACCCCACTGTAGCACCTGATGTTCCCGGAGGTCTCACATCACAGTCCTAACCAGGCTCTGCCCAGGCTTATCAAATTCTAAATCAGGTAATAGCCTCATGATGTCTTTGCATGTCCAAAAATGTATGGTATTTCTTGAGTGGATGCTATATAGTTTCTCCAGCAGGAAGACTTTGATCAGCGGTTGTTTCCGGGACAACCGTCCATGTGCTGCTGATAAAGACATTTTTCCAGTTTGTCTCCATTCTTTACTCCAAACACAAACTGCCATCTGTTTGTGACGGGAAGTCTGAGCACTACACTTCCGCACAAGGTTCCCAGTTCAGGTTCACTTCATCTGCACCTGTGGACTGGTCTCCACAGGTCCAGACTCGCGGGTCCTGGATCTATGAGCCTCCCAGTGTGGACCTCTGAGGACACTATGGACGTTTCTGGACATTGTCTCCGTTTGGACAAGTGGCTCTATGTGTTTGTCATTATTGAATTTCCTGTGTTCGAACAGTTTGATTCTCTGATCTGTTGCAGAGGAATCAAAAACTTTGTAAAATCCCCTCAGACGACTGCTGTTGTGATTCAGGGCTGAACAAAAATTGATTGAATTTGAACAGAGTTTCAGAAAGTAAAAACAACAGTAATTAGACATGTGATATTTATTGCCATCATTTTGTGGTAAAGTTTACAATAAAAGTGGTACGAAAATTACAAAAAGGTGCACACACACAGTCGCGCACAGTCGCACACATTCTGCTGCGGAGCTGACGTTTGGGGCCGTTCAAAGTTCTGCTCACAGCTCGGACTTCAGCAGCTTCTTTGCCTTCTTCATGTTGTCCAACACTAAAACACAAAACAATATTAGTCTCGTTTATCTGTCGCTCTCACACTGGGGAACCAGGAGGAGGTGATTTGGATGAAAGATGAGAAGCCTTTTGGTCCTTCCAATCAAATATCATGATTTTATACAATTTTTTCTTCAGTTTAAGGTCATTGCATTGTGTGAAGTGTATGTTAAAAAATAAAGTTGTTAATTGTAAAATCACCTGCATTCTTCTCATGTGTCCAATGATCACAAGTCACATAGAGTTTGTACTGTTACCAGCTAAGCTCCTGCAGGTGGATTGCAGCAGTGATAATTGTTTAGGAGCTACATGTGTCACAGACAAAAAGATTCTGGGAACAAAAGTGTGATTATAATTGTGATTACTTTATTAGACCACCAAAAGTGCATATACAAGTCCCTTTAAGAACAATTTTTAGATCTAGTTTATGGTTTTACATTTGGACAAAGTAGAAGTTTGCTTGTGTGATCTGCAATATATTATAAATTCAAACTTTGTTGATTATTTATTCATATGTATATCTTATTTTTTTTTATTGTATCCAGACATCTAAAGCTGAAGTACAGAGAGATTTGTAACATTTTGTAAATAAATCTGACTTCCTCTTAATTTTGTTCTAAACTATTTTAACCGTTTTGAGAGCGGGGAACAAGTTGTATTTGTATTACATTTAAAGTGAGGAACTCCAGCTTTCTCCTGAATTGTAATTTTCACCACTGTTCTTGCTTGTCATATGAAATTATGTGTTGAAAAATATCAAATACACTGTATGTAGAGACGAAACACTAGTTCATCTTAAATCCAAATACTCGTCTCAGGTGAGTTGCTAATACGGGGTTAGAGTGCGGGTTAAAGGTCCTGAGTGCGAGGGCCCCTGGTGGTAGTCCTGTGCACTTACACAGCTTGATGTCGCTGGGCTCGTAGGCGTACATGCGGTTGGAGTATTGACCCACGATGTCTGCTCTCACCGTCATGGAGGGGTCTGTGGAGAACACACGTGTGTAGGATGCACTTTAGTGTCCATTATCTGTGCAGCGATCTGTCGACCTCGTCTGAAAAACTGTTTCTAGTTTGGATTTTAATACTACAAAATACAAAAGTAAATATATTCTTACCGACAAAGATGACTCTGGGCACATACTGGCCGTCAGGGGAGAGATGCTTGTCTGTGGTTTCATACTGTCAAAAAACATAACCAGTCTTTTTAATATCTAAACATTCTGACACAAGTAACAATGTATCATAATATTCACAGTGAGAGGGAACATACAGCAGACATTTGTTATAAGAAGTGCACTAGTAACTATAAATGGTTTTATTGTATCTATTTTAGTCATAGCGCAAAATATTGGTTAGACTTACTTGATCACCAGCATCCTTCCTGCTCACAGCCGAGTCAGATGTGGGCGAAGGACACAGTTTGGAACTTACTTATCCATAACCAAATACATTATTTGTCCCACAACCAAAAGATTGATAAATCTCACCCACATTAACCCATATTTACAGATTGGTAGTTTCCAAACAAGTGTTTTTAGAGTGAACCGTTAAACTATTATTATGACATAATCTTTCTGAAGGGCTTTTTAATTTAAATGTGACTTGAATATTCCTCATGGAGCCGTGACATTCGGGCTCTAAGTGTCGGTGAAAACACAGAACAGAACATCACTGACCACCAGGTTGAGCACCACAAAGTCCTCGTCCAATATCTTCTGGATCTCGTTGTTGTCAGCAAAGATTTTCTTCAGAGCTGCACAACATACACAAGGATGAGCGAGTGTGTGTGCGTGTGCGTGTGTGTGTGCGTGCGCGTGCACGTGTGTGTGTGTGTGTATGTCAGAGACATAGCGTACCTTTACTGTGAGGACAGTCCTCCAGGTGGAAAATCACCATCAGGGGCTTGTTCCTACAAACACACAGAACATTAACATCTGCATCATGTAAGAACATTAGAACTTATGATGTTCATATTTATATTTCAAACAGAAGACCGGCATGAATCTGTTGAAACGAAAAGTCGAACGAAAAAATATTACTCAAGAAATAATCCCCATTTCAGAAGTGGGGGAGAATGAACTTTTAGGGGCTGCAGTAAAACATGAGGAGGTGTGACAAGAGAATGACAAACTGTGACACTTTGTAATTTTCTATTTTTTGTCTTTTATTAGATTATTAGATGTATATAGGCAGCGGGTGGCAAAGAGGGACATAATATAAATAAGAAATAATGTCATAATATTAAATATCATAAAATATGAACTGAAAACTATGAAACTGCAGCTCTTAAAAACACTAAAAATATTAATAAAATAAAGTCAGACAGAGCTCAAAGAAATCTACTGTAACTGAAAACACACATAGTGAATCAAATGTTGATGGTTTTTATTTTTAATCGTAAAAGCACATTTCCTGACCTGGACCTGGACCAGTAGAGCCCCTCCTCATAGGTCTGAGCCCAGATCTGCTGGTCGCCCCATCCTGCAGAAAACACAAATGTTTATGGAAATGTCTTAACAGGTTGCATTCACGTGACATGAAAACATTCCAAAGAGATTATAGTTTAACGTTGTGGAGGGCAGATTTTTACCGGTAACTATGGTGACTGTCGAGAGTCAGATTTTAGTCCCAGTTTAGAAATAATGTATCGCTAATTCCTGTAATCCAGTCCCAGTTGAACATTGTAAATTGAGCTGAAAAACTATTCGACAACATCAACACAACCTAATATTTACTGCAATGGCTTTAATGCTGTAGGGATAAAGTAGCATTTGTTGTTAGCAAAGAACCAAAATAATATTTGCACATTTGTGATATATTTTACATGCCACAGTGAGTCTGTACAGTGAGTTCAGACTAAGAGTTTATACGAAATTCATGCAAAATGAGTGGTAAGGTATGATCCAAAGTTTTTGATATTTAAAATGGGTAAGCATTTAATCAACAGCACAATTTATCCCATTGTTACAACACAACAAATTTGAACATGTATATTTTTAGACTTTTTCACTACTAATTCCAAACTATGTTGACATTTTCTATTGGTAAAAGCTTGCAGTCACTTTTATTTTAACTTTGACTTTCTTGGAGTTTGGTATAGATTGTAGGACCCACGTACCTCGGGCCAGCGTCTGGGGGATCCTCTTGCCGGACTTGGGGATGTACTTGCCCAGAGTGGAGGACAGGGTCACCAGCAGCAGGAGCAGGGAGAAGGCGGCTTTCATCATGGTGGCTGCTTAACTGCAACCAGCACAAAGACACCTTTAAGAACCGCCATCGCACAGTTTCAAATGACAACAAGAACAGAGAAAGCAGCCGCGGATTTAAATGCCGACCGGCCCCTATTACACACGCATTCATATCGTGTGTGCAAGGTGTGAGAGTGAGGAAGACTTTGCTTTAAAGCTGGAGTGGGTTCCTTGCTGATGAAGGAGGGTCTGAGGACAGTGATGATCCGGGACATTTAAAGACATGTATTAAAATTTCAGGATAGTCTATGGACCGATGGCTCCTATGTGTTTGTTATTATTACATTTCCTGTGTCATTTGCATTCATTCATAGTGTTAATTTTCAAGATTTATGTAAATATATGAGAGCGCTGTGCAATGATACAATGACCCAGAAAACAAAAAGACCGTGTACCATTTTATAGCAAAACTGAGTGTGCACCAGATTAGTTGGATAATATAGCATTTCCAACACTTGCAGTTTATTGTGTAATTATAAATCTTTTACTGCGTTGTCATTACCTCTGCAAAATCTAACCAATAAAATAAATGTCTCTGCAATTCAAATTATTGTAATTTACAGTGGCAAACCACTCAAACCTATAGAAGAAAATTATTATTTACTTGACGCTAAATTAACAAATCTGACATTATCTGGAAGAATTATAATGGATAATGTGTTGTGTGCTTTACTATATCTAGTTACAACGATAAATAGACAGACGTTAGCACGCCAGACCCAGAACAAGCTCATTCTCAAAAACGTGTGGCAGAGCTAGCATGTGTGGTGTACTCTTACCTGGGGCGGTCAGGAGGAGCGGTGCGGTCAGGAGGAGCGGAGGTCTGGACACGTACGTCAACGCGCCTCACCTGTCGACTTTATTCAGACAGGTGCGCGCTAGCCCCGCCCCCACTCCAGGAACCAGGAAGCTGTGACGGAATTCGTCCGTAACCACGACAACCGCAGAAGTGAGGAGTGCGGCATGAGAGAGATACTTCCTTTTTGTTGTTCTTAGTGGTTTTTCCTCGTCCTTTATGGCCTTTTCTAAAACAAGGGCGGCTTCAAGTACGGTCAAGTGAAATTTAAGAGCGTGTTAAAGACGTTTAAATGCCACAGAAGGGAGAGACGAGGGCGGATAAGCTGGTTTTTGGATGTAGCCCAAATGAGGAGGATGTTTGCATGTTTGATTAAACACTTTGAACACGCAGAAGTTTTGATTAGGAAATGATGATAAGGAAAGTATTGGCATGGCTGTATCTCTGTATTAATAGAAATAATGTTATGAATAAGGTGAGTGTGTACCAATTTATAATTAAAATCAATAATAACTTACCTCATGATAAAATACCGTATCACTATATTACATACATTGAATTCCTCATCATTCCCTAGAATTTAAAATACTGCACACATTCATTGAGGCTACACAATTAATAATCGAAAATTTGTCTTTGTTAAAACTGAAACAATTATAATGGTGCACATATGAATCTAGGTCTATAGAAAATGATTCATCCATAATTGTATCATCTGCTATAATAACAATCAGACATATTTTACTGCCATTGTATGTAAGAAATAAGAGTAAAAATATTTGGACATGCATAAAGAATCTGATCGCTGCTGCCTCTGTCTTCATTTATTGACACATACAAGTACACACAATAGTAAGGTAGTATCACATCTAAACATGTATTCATATTTATAGGTACAGGCCTACTACATTAAGAACAGTTGATAGGACTATTCCATTATTTTATATATTGTTTATTATGCATCTTGAGTTTATTATATACATATTTATATTTTTTTTAGCAATTCATATATTGCACAGTCCTAATAAACTGTGGGAGCTACACTAAAATTTGGCCACTTTTGGAGAGTTAAATCTCATCTTAGTTTGTCATGTTGCACTGTCGGTGAGAAATCCACCTGTATAACCTGCAATCATGTCTAATACTAACATAGTTTATTTTCATTGTGCTTTTCTAAAAAGCCATGAACGTTGGTCAGGAGTGAGACTGTCGGTACTTGGATGCAGGTCGACGCAGGTTCTGGCGGTAGATCTAAGCCCCCAGAATGAGTGAGAGGCCTGGGGAACCTCTGGACAAAGGGCGCATTCACTGGAGCGCTGATGTCCCAGGACACAAGCAGGAGCACGGGACAAAGAGGTGGTCACACACAAGACACACTGTTAGTGGCACTGTCATGGTTCTGGCTCATATGAACATACAACTATTTATTATGATATTTAAAAAAACTTTAAAGTGGGGGATGCATTTTTTCCATCTACTTTTTTTTAAATAAGCCTTGAAGGTCACTTTAATCACACTAACCACACACATACTGGACACTAGTATCCAAAACAGCATAATATTATCAATCAATCAATCAATCAATCTTTATTTATAGGGCGCTTTTCCTGCACAGGGCAACACAAAGCGCCTCACAGTCCACACCACACAATGCACAAATCATCACCATTAAAATACAATTAAAAACACATATGTAATTAAAAAGCATTAAAATCACATAAGTAATTTAAAAACATAAGAATCACACAAGTAATTAAAAACAATAAAATAGTTAAAAACACAAAAAGTTACAACAATAAATAACAAGGTGTGTTAAAAAGATAAAATTCTCTAGTTGTATGCACAGGAAAAAAGAAAAGTCTTTAACATGGATTTGAACATTGACAGAGAGGCAGCCAGTCTCACATCCTCAGGAAGACTGTTACAAGATGTTCAGTGACTTTCTCATGAAAACGACAGAACCTCCTCATTTTGTTCTATCCCTCATTCGTTTGCTTTTTCTGTGACTAAATAAAGCTGCGTTGCATGACTCAAAGATGCAAAACTCAATGGAAACAAAACTTTGATAATGACATGAAAGCAAAGCCCCTGTTTAACCATTGGTAAATAATAAAATAGATTGCATTCATTACAACTTTTAAAGAGCTTATTGTTTAACATTGTGGTGGAGAGAAGCTGAAAAATCTTTGCTGTTGTGACTGTCATAGGTCAAATGTTTCTTGTCTTAGTTAGCACACATTTTTCTGTACTTCCTGGGTCAATCTATAAGTTCCACATCTTCTCTGTCAGCACATTATTTTCCCATAAAGGAGTCTAAAAGTGGTGGTGCTAATAAATAAATCATATGCATAATATTGGCATTTGATAAGTATGATATGGCTGCATTGTGAATCCAATCACTGTCAAATCACTGGGGAGACCTGTCTTGCAAAAAGAGCTTCTCTCCCATAGACTTGTCTTGGCACCGGCCCAAAATACTGAAATACAATCCTACAACATGAACACAATCTACTGTATCGAACCCTCTCCGTGTGGCCGGTTTGAGTGGGGAGTGTGCGCATGCGTCCTCTACACATGCAGCCGTAGTCTTAAGGCTGAGCTGGCCTTGGACAATGGAATATTCCAGTAACAAAGATCATCAAAGCTGCCAAAACTAACATGTGACGTCAGGCTGCACCTACTACTGTCCTCCTAATAAACTGGGTGTAGGTTCTTAAACTGTGTCCAAATGATAGTATGGTGTAGACAGTAAATAGACACAGGTAGAGCAAATATCAAATAGCCTATGTATAAGTAAGTATGTAAGTAAGTAAGGTTTATCTATATAGCACATTTTACAGACCAATGTCACCCAAAGCGCTTTACAATTGTTCAGAGTTCAGATATTGTTCCATTCTCTCCACACACGGTGATGACGGAAGCAAGTCGCCGAACACACTGCCGCATCAACGCCTCAACCAACACCATCCATTCACTTGCTCACTCTCTCGCCCACTCACTCACTCTCTCTCTCTCTCACTCACTCACTCACTCTCTCTCACTCACTCACTCACTCACTCACTCTCTCTCTCTCTCTCTCGCCCACTCGCTCACTCTCTCTCTCACTCACTCACTCACTCACTCTCTCTCTCTCTCACTCACTCACTCACTCACTCTCTCTCTCTCTCACTCACTCACTCACTCACTCTCTCTCTCTCTCACTCACTCACTCACTCACTCACTCACTCTCTCTCTCTCGCCCACTCGCTCACTCTCTCTCTCACTCACTCACTCACTCACTCGCTCACTCGCGCACTCGCTCACTCACTCGCTCACTCACTCTCTTGCCCGCTCGCTCACTCTCTCTCTCACTCACTCACTCACTCACTCTCTCACTCTCTCACTCTCTCACTCTCTCACTCTCTCACTCTCTCACTCTCTCTCTCTCTCACTCACTCACTCACTCACTCACTCACTCTCTCACTCTCTCACTCTCTCACTCTCTCTCTCTCTCTCTCTCTCTCTCTCTCTCTCTCTCTCTCTCTCTCTCTCTCTCTCTCTCTCACTCTCTCACTCTCTCACTCGCTCTCTCACTCACCCACACGGGTGGCACGGTGGCTGAGTGGATATCACTCTCGCCTCTCAGCAACAAGGTCCTGGGTTCGAAACCCGGCCGGACCAGGGCCTTTCTGAGTGGAGTTTGCATGCTCTCCCTGTGTCTGCGTAGGTTTCCTCCGGGTACTCCGGTTTCCCCTACCACTAAAAATATGTACAATAGGTCTGGCATATGCCTCCTGTACTGGCGAGAGACAAATGTCTAAAAATGCTTTGAGACTCAGATCTGCAGTGAAAAGGTGGTATATAAATAAAGATTACTACTACTCTCACTCACTCCCATAGTTTGTGTTCATGTTGGAGGGCAGGGGTCAATACAAGTCTATGAGTAAAAAGTAGTTTGGAAAAATATATTTTCCCAGTGATTTGATCAGATTTACAAACCTGTCTGGGAGTCACTGGACAACATCATGCACGTGTTTTTGAATAGTGTTCTTTATGAGAAAAGAGCATATTTGAGATGTGCTGAGAGAGAATATGTGGATTGTTCCTGGAATCACAGAGAAATTATCTCTAAACTAAGACTATGTGTCAATTTTTAACTGTTGGCTCTTTGGAATGTTGCATGAGCGTAACCTTTAGAATCCTC